TGCCTAGTCTTTGCACTTTACATTCCTTCTGGCTTTGCATGGCTTAAAGCTGCTTTGTCATGACACAACCGCAAATGTTAAGCAGTTACGCTTTACCATCTTCACCTTCTAGGATCACCATTTCAAATAAGCTCACGCAGTTCAAAAATGTTTGTTTTTTTTATTCGAAACAAAACCAAAACGCGGCAATAAGCGAACCCACAGGTGCGTTCACCGCCTGCAAGCACAAAGACTAGGCAAATCCATGTCATACCCATAATTCCTGTGGTTGCTGAAGGATCGCAACGCCTAAAGTCTCCTCTAGTTATAGGGGCAGTGACATCAACTTGTCATGTCGCATTCTTTGCGTCAACGCGTAGTTGTCAATCCCCTAGTGGCGATTCCCTTGTGGCGTCTCTCTTCACACGCTTTCGCACTAAATCACGTCTTTGTTGTAATGTCTGCATTTGGTTAGCTTGTGTACTGCCTGTTACGCACTCCTGCAGCGTGACTGAAAATCTTATTTACATCTTTGTCATCTGCAAACTACAAAAAAAATGAAGATCGTATAAAGCCCGCATATCTGTGCGATTATTTCAGTACCACCGTTCGCACCGTATATGCATATGATTTTTTTTTTCGCTCATTCTGTTCAGCGTGAAATGTGGGACAGTCGATAAGTCTAGTCAGGAAAGGTTAGCGGCAGACGGACGTTTTGTACTACACTACGTTTACCACGTGTACAGCACATGCTTTTGCACCAGTAAATATCTTATGTAAGAGTTCAGCAGAAAGCTTTTGTCGATACATTACGTGCATGACAGTGCTACGAAACGCCTGGTTATTCGGACATGAATTTTTTGTTCAGGCAAAGAATGACCACTGCTTTCCGTCGGCCACTAACAATGCCGCACAAAATGATGAAGACTATGTAAAAAACTAAATTTTCAGTGAAATCACACATTACATATAAGGCATGCCGTCTGAATCAATTTTCAACGTCTGGGCTCTTCAAAGCATTTTTAAATCTAAGCACACAGTTGCGCACAGGTAACTCTGTTTTAAGTGCAGTTTAAGTACTAATGTGTCTTGGTTTATGTGATAGTAATATTTCTATGTAGTGGCACCACGTCCAGATAAACACAACCAAGGCGCCTTGCATGATCGATAAACTACAGTGCTGTAGTTGTGCACCTTCCAACAGCGCGCAAGTGCATGGCCTAGAGCCCTTTTTTTTTTTACGATAGAGTCGCTATTAATAGTACTCATTTGCTATGTGCTTGAAACAAAAAGCGGCACCCACTCTGAAATTATTCTGGTGAATAAGAGGGTACGACGACAATAAACAGCACTCTGGAAAGTTGCACTCGCCGATCTTATTGCAATGCATTAGCAGCTGAGCAAGACCAAATGCTTTTGTACGTCGTTTCAGGCATACGTACAAACAGTTACACCCGTGCTGGCATGACTGGACAAACTACACTTTGAAAACGTGCATGACGTACGCACACATAGAAACTCGACGTGGCTAGCAAACGAAGCACGGAGCAATACACACTTCGCTCTTCTGCCAGTTGCTGCCAGGCGGCGACTCTGCTTGATCTCGTGGCCAATACGGTACCGCATGTAAACACCACGATGACAACACTGAAATCCTCGACGCCATCGCCACCAGTTTGTCACTTGGCATCTGTGGCGTGGCCCAGGAGCTTGCTGAACATGTCAAAATACTGTTGATGTGTCATGGCCGAAAAGACCCTGATGAGCCTTGGATGCTCCTTGCACTCAAAATAGAATAACTTCTATGTGACAGACATGATTCATACTTTCCTAAAAAAACTCGCATATCAAGCAATCGAATTAGTGCCACATCTCTCGTCTGAAATTTTGTGTCATAGCTCCTTTATTTTAGGAAACTCTATGGGTGGTTGTTGCGATGGGTCTCCTGCAACTCGGCTTAATAGTTGTGTACTCCCAAAGCCGCAAAGCGGCGATTGAAGTGGCACTGCAGTGGAAAGATCCAGTGCTCGTTTGAACCAAGCGGAGCATGCCAAGATGGTTTTGTCAGTGTGGCGCATAGTATCATTAAATACAGTGATGTCCTGTTGGAGTTGAGGATGGATGTCTTGTGTGGACAGATGGGGGAAAAACCCGAACATTGAGTCAGCACAAAGACGCCTTTCCTTTCCAGATATGTAGAAAGTAAAGCCATATATTATAATGGCTAGTACGTGACGTCATGAACGCAGTTTCTTAAGGAAATTGGTGCTCCATGATGGCTTGTTCGATGACAAACAAGTTGCTTCTATGTGAAAATGACGTGGCAGGAACATCTCTGTGCGCGAATAATGAAGAAACCTGCATGAGATGTCTTTATAATATTAATATGACATCGAAAATGTCGTGTGATTTCAGTGACGTCGGTGTAAGCCGATGAAGCTTGGCTAATCCGCCTGAGTGGGTATGAGCCATGTTAGAGGCATGCCATCGTCATCGTGCCTTTGGAGGTTATCACCGCTGCAGTAGAGCCACCGAGTTCGTCGACTGCCACGATAGTGCCTTGCGGCCTTGAAATGGCAGCTGCTGGTCTCGCACAGCAAATGAATAACCACATCCACAAGATGCACCATAGACAGCGAGGTGACACATTGCGCAAGAGAATGTGCTGGACGAGTGTTCTCCGAAGTATGCACCAATCGCGTCGCCGGCACGGTCAGACGGATTTGAGCTCGAAAGGAGCGCAAGTTCAGCACGGCTCCGCCGCGGTGGTCTAGCGGCTGAGGTACTCGGCTACTGACCCGCAGATCGCGGGAACGAATCCCGGCTGCAGCAGCTGCAATTTCGACGGCGGTGAAAATGCTGTAGACACGTGTGCTCAGAACCCCAGCTGGTTGAAATTTCTGGAGCTCTCCACTGCGGCGTCTCTCATAATCATGTGGTGGTTTTGGGATGTTAAACCCCACATGTCAATCAAATCGAGTCTTCAACACGACGATGTAGTCGTCACGGCAAAGACGAGGGGTATGGTGAGTTCGCCACTTGGCGCATCGGCGAGGAAGGAGCCAGCCATAGTGCACACCGTCTGTAGAGGGGCGCGAGGATGAGGCCTAGGTGACCGCTTTTCGCTGGGCGACAGCGCGCGACGTATTGCCCTTGGGCGCAGCCGCGGCCTGTGATTGCTTCTGTTCCCAGAGTTTCACCATGTCAGCCTAATACTCGTTCTCCGAGGGCATGGCTTGGTCAGAGTAGGTGGTCTCTATCGTCTAAACTTGAGGTCCGAGTCATAGACCGTAGCCTTGGTGGCGGCCGTTATCGCGCCGGGGAAACCCGGACTTTGCGGAGCTAGGCCTAACGGGGCTAGGTAAAGTGCCGCGTCACGTCGGCGCGGAGATAAAACATGCAGAAGTTGTCTAAAATGCGACCCACCTTGACGCGGGTGATATCCAGTAGAAACAGGCAACTTGGTGGTGACGATGAGGCTAGGCTTTTTCGTCACTCACGTGAAGAACCTCAATAATCGATGATCGTTGACGGAGCCGATGCGGAAAGCGTCTGTCATCGTCGAGCGCTCCGCGTGTTCCCTACGCCGCTGACATACCGCGACAGATGCAATCGTAGATTGTAACAGACGACTGATCCCACTATTCAGAAACGCTCCTTGACTTGGCAGCGCGTTCGCAACACGTTTGTGCTGCATTGAATGCGGCGACAAGTCGTTAAAGAGCGTTTCTGATTAGGGTGGTCAGCTTTGAAATCAAGTACACGGCCAGCGCTCGCGGATTAAAAAAAAAAAAAAAAAGCTGAACGCGAGCGAAACCGCAGTCGCTGCAACGCGATCATCGATGGCGTCTACGAGCTGCGAAGGTATGTGGCTAACGCAGTGGTAGATTAAACGTGATAAAGGTGTAAAAACACACAAAATGGGGCAAGCGTTTCGGTGTTTTTGTCGATCTTCGCTTTCGGACTTCAGCACTTTTCAGTTGGTCTCGAATGAAGCTGCGACGCGCACTTTCGCGGCAGTCAGCTGCGCCGTCCCTTACTGGTCCGTTCGCGTATGTCCTAGAAAAACACGAGTTATTTTGACGAAAAGAAATGTTTTGTGCGGATAACGTGGTTTAGAACCAGATATGGCTAGTCTTTTTAGTTGTACAATATTCCGTGTGATAAGATATTTTCGATCGCGCTTGCGATTCGTACGCGTCGCCGAGATTCTATTGGTTGAGACACACCCCACCTGCTTTGTTTTTAAGTGATTATGAGACCGAAATGCCAATGTTAACACCCCTTTTTTCTTCATGTGAAAAATTGGTGCGAACCCCCCCCCCCCCCCCTCCTCCTCCTGTTGTGGAAATCGCTCGGATTCAAAAACCCTTGAATTTGGCAGGTATGGTAATAAAATAGGTTCTTAAGCATGGATGAGCATTATACTGAAACAGTGAAGCCATATTTATGATGCACAAGTGTTGTCATAGCAACGAATACCAGAACACTACCGCACAATAATTCTGGTCTTATTATTGGATATAGTTACTGGGAGGCCTTATTCCACCATCGGCAAGTTTTCATTTCTTGTTTTAATTGATCTTTGTGCACTTGATTAAAAAACAAGTTACTTTCCCTTCTGCATTGTCCTGGTTCTGTTTATCCAAGCAGTAAATAGAGCCCCTGCAGCTCGTTAGCATCCTATTAATGCCTCATTGGACATCATTTAACAGTTATGGATGTGACATAACTTAAATGTATGCTGAGCATAATAAAGAACATATAGTTGAATTTGTTTTGACATCTGTGCCACCACTTATTGCTGTTTTGCTAGATAACTAAAGTTGTGACTGCTCTCGTTTCTAGTCATCCGCAAAGTCCCCGGCAAAAGTTTTCCTGGCCTGTAGTCTTAGGTGCTTAACCATGTGTTGCTAAACTTTGGTTTTCTTGGTTCATGAATGCGTCGCCATTCACGTGGAAACTTTCATGTGGCCATTGGAAAGAGACAAACTGGTTGGCTCTGTACTTTAATTTCCAGGTCAGACTCGGGTTCCTGCCATGCCACCTTCCTCCGTGCCTTCCCCTGGCTCCAAGGCTCTGGCCGACCCCTGTTCCTCTGCCTCTTTCTCTAGTCAGCAAATGCCATCTCCTGCTATTCTTCGACCTCCGAGCTCGCCCATGCGGATGCCGGGTGGCGCGATCCCGACGACGAGTGCAAGCCTGCCGTCGTGCAAGGGGGGCGTGCCGCGGCAACCAATGTCCGCGGCAGCGAACTCCACAGCTACGGCTGCGGCGGCTACGCCTTCGGCTTCCGCAGCATCAGCCACCTCCACGTCCAGCTCGCTATCTGCACCGGCGTCGCGCCTCGCCACTCGGCAGCACTCCATATCGGCCGTGTATGATTCATCCATCGGCTCCCAGGAGGAAATTGTCGAGCGGGCCAAGCAAGAGGCATACGTGATGCAGCGAATCGCGGAGCTGCGCAAGGACGGCATGTGGTCGGCGCGCCGGCTACCCAAGGTGCAGGAGCCCCCCCGGGCCAAGGCCCACTGGGACTACCTGTTGGAGGAGATGGTGTGGCTTGCCACCGACTTTGCCCAGGAGCGCAAGTGGAAGAAGGCGGCGGCCAAGAAGTGTGCCCGTATGGTGCTCCGCTACCACCAGGAGCGCGAGCAGCGGGCCGAGCGGGCCGAGCGCGAGGAGCTGCAGAGGCTGCGTCGCGTTGCTGCCCAGGTGGCCAAGGAGATCAAGCTGTTCTGGGCCAACATCGAGAAACTAGTGGAGTTCAAGCAGCAGACGCGACTCGAGGAGAAGCGGAAGAAGGCACTCGACCTGCACCTTAACTTCATCATGGACCAGACGGAGAAGTACTCTTCATGGTTGCGCGAGGGCATGGGGGCTGCCACAACGAACAAAAGCAGTGCTTCGGAGGCAACCACACCGGCCCAGGCGTCTGCCAGCCCCGCTCGGTCAGGCTCCTCAAACGGTGAGCGGTGGCAGATGTATCATGGTTACTTCTTCAGAAATTGTGTCAGTGCTGCTTGTATTGAACTTCCTTATTGTTATCTTGCGTTATTCTGTGAGAAACTCCTGTAAGCTGTTTTAACATGACAAAATTAAAGAGCCGGTCCCACTAAAAGTGTCAGCGCCAGTAAGTTTGGGAGGTGCTGTATTTCATAAAACAATTCCTGAATTCCTCTGCCTCACCTGACCAGTTCTCCTCACCTACTGATTGACGTTATGTTTCCTGTGCAGTTGTAGCGCATACGTGGCAGTGCAGTTGCACACACTGCAAACTTCTTTACCGTGTCGGTGCCTTTCACCATACTATTTTACTGCTTCACATACTAGTAATTCACTAGAGCAACCTGTGGTAGACTTGTTCAGTTGCTGGCAGCAAATATAGTGATAGTTTGGCATGTGTTTTATTTTGGTAAGCGGCATGCATACAACCACTTAATTAGGTGAAATGAAAAAGCCAATTTAAGAACGCATACACAAGAAGCTGTTGGGACAAGAAGACAGAGACGCGCTGGTCCAGCGTCTGCCTGCCGTCTTCTCTTTTTTCTGTACATATGTGTAAGTTGGGTTTCCATTTTTTCAAGTATCTTCCAAAGGACCCAGTGATGGATTCCACTTAATTAATCAAGGTGCACAGTAAAAAGCCATGGTACAGTTGAACCTCACTCTGATGAAGTAGCATAGAAATTATAACTTAGTTTTTTATATAAATATGGGCTCTAGAAAATCGGCAACCTGGCTTTTGCAAGAATCATGGATTAAAAGACTCATTACTCTAGCGTTCAAAGCCACTACAAATTCTTACCTCTCTCTTTGTGGCAGTTTAAACTAAACAGACTGGGTCGTGAGATGGTAAAATTACAACTGGACCAAGCTTGTCCCAGAAAACAGGTCTGCATTCACATTAATTTGGAGAGGGATGTGATTCCATCTGGTAGCTTTTTACAGCAATCCATAACCACATTAAGAATAAAAAAAAGTGGTTGTGAAGTGTGTTTAAATATTCATTTTATTCCTGATGCTTGCACAAATAAAAGAGTTTTGTTATTCATTTGAATTTCTTAAAAAGCACTGATGTGAGAGAAAGTCGGATAGAAGACATCAGTGTGCGTGCATCAATGTAGGGTTTGATGACAAAATAAGAATCTGATGTCCTGCTTATAGGGATGTGCGGGAGCTCCGGCTCCGTAGTCTTCGGCCCGCTTCATCTTTAATAAATGTTGTCGCTGAGCACAACAGAATGCAAGTAAATTTGCGAAGTGACCCCCACACAATAATTCTTACTTTTCCAAATTGTCGAAGTACTCAGTACATGTCTGTAAGACTAACGTGCACTGCTCAGCTGCATGCTTTATACAGGGTGGGCAGCTTTAAACACCCATTCATTGCATAATTTATGTGTTTAGATACCTGGTGTGATTTTATGATTTTGCCAGATTATATTACATGCCTTGAGGAGACGCTACATTACATTACAGTGTTTTTTTTAAATGAAGCTGAATAAAGTGCTGGAACATCTGTTTGCTTAAACGATGCTGAGTCAAGTCCTGGAACATCCGTTTGCTGTGCAGAAGCCCGGGTTTGCTTCTCACTCGGCCAAAGAGTTTTTATTACTTATTTGGATCTATCTCGAGTTTTTGCTTACTATCAGACGCAGACACTGGAATTTCTCTGAAACAAGCTCTTTCATGCTACCGTGACAGAACGATTTGAAAACTGCCGCCGTGTTATGTTGTTGGAAGTGGTTATTCTTGTGATGATGGGCTTTGCCTACTGGCACGGAGGAAGAAACATTTAGGAGGTGCAACTCTGCTTCTTGAGGCGATCGAATAATATCACATTGCCGGAGTGCCAAATCGTACTGGTGGCATCTTGCGGCAGGAAAAGGAACTGCCGTCATTTTGATGTCTGAGCGAACCGTTAGCGTGGGTTGTTCGTGTTCCGCCGCAGCCTAGGAGCGGGAATGCAGAGCGTGTTCGGCCAACCTTGGCTGTTAGCGTTGCCTTTTTCTTTTTACGGAATTGCGGCCTTGCACCGCAAGGCACCGCCAACTGAAATGTCTCCATTTGAGCGTGTTATTTTTGTGTTTTATGTGAAGTTATCTGGACATCTGCAACCGCCCATTCTTTTTTCCTCCGTGCCTACTGGTCTCCATCGTAAAGTGTAAAGAGGCCGAGAGAGAAAGTCGAACTAGCCAAAGCGGTCATAGTGGGTTATTCTATTCCACAAACTTCCTTAAAGAAGTATTCAAAATTTTTTTGCGGCAAGATGTTCAATGTTCACATCGTACAAGTGCGCAATTGTCTCTTTATCACAAATTTATTTTACCTCGGATTATTTTCTCGCTCTGTTGCATGATCAGCGTGGCAAACTTGGCTTGCGTGTGGTAGTTTCATTGTCGTATGCGCCTGATAATATGACAAGGAGCGACACCTCTGTTTTTAGAATGGGTAGAGGGCATGTGCAACACCTAGTGTGATCACATTTTAGATTTTTTAGTGGTATGTAGTTATTTTCTGAGAAGTATGACAATCAAAACAATGGTTGGCGTGGTTATATGAAAGAGATCGGTTGTCATCGACATTGGCAGCTACTGTCCAATTTTTAATTTCATTGCAGTAATCAAACTTTTCACTTACTTGATTCTTTTGGGACCACAGTCATTGTCCGAATTTGCAGATTTTCAAGAAACCACGAAAATGTCTGGAATACAGGGCAGTCCGAAAAAACGAATGCATGCGAAAATGCATTTTTTCTACAGGCATTTTTTGCTGACAGAGAGGGTCATGGCAGGAGTACAAGATTCTAATTCTCAATGCGAGTGCATTGTTTAGGTGGCTCCCAAAAGAGCAACTTATTAAAGAAAAGAAAGACGTGGCTGACGATACTTCATTGGTCAGCGCTCTGGCCCCAAAAAAGCTGCATGTTCTTTTTTTTGCACCTCAATTTCAGTCAGTGTCATGCTCTCGCTGTACATTGACATCTGTGCTCGCGTTAACTCCTAGCTAATTGGCTGTATAGGCGCTGCCTTCCAATCTCCGGTGTCGGAGTCGCCAGAATTCTTCGTAACTTCATTGTTGATTTCGTCATCTGTCGATTCCGCACACAGCTCGAGGTCTTGGTCAGCGCCAATAAAGCCTCAAAAGTTATCCCGGCTGGAATTTAAACACCAGCAGCGCGTAGATCGTCGAAGGCAACGTCCGCAGAAGGACGTTCGTCACACACGCTCTCCACTCCAGGCGAGACGGCTGTCTTGGCGAATTCGCTTGACGATAAATGCAGCACCAGACAGCTGGAAACTCAGTGGATGCTGGAGGTCGGGAAATGTGATGCGCGCAGCAGTACACAATACATTGCAGGGCTGCCAACATGTGAACTAACCGCAGGTTTGACTAAGCTACGGCTGGTAACGCATTGGCATGCGCTAGATTGATGAAATTATGGTTTCGAGGGTACGAAGCTGGGGCCACTGCCGCGGCAAGTTTGCACCGCTGGTATCGTGCATTTCAGGGTACAAGAACAACCAAAATGGCGGCATTGTTGGTGACTTCGAGTCTGTGGTTGGCAGTAAAAATTCAGGAAATCAGATGGCTAAGGCTATAAGTGTCTGAAATTTCGGACTCTTTAATACATTGTCTCTATGAAGAACTTGATGGTGCGAGAGATGAGTCTGGGAAAATCAAGCGTGTCCGGAATTTCGGCCATCCTATAAATCAAAGTTGACGGTAATATACGCAACCAATAAGAATTTTGACAATGCAAATGCGCATGCACTGCAGTCAACTGTTCTCTTTATCGGTTATGCAAAGACCAGTCTATCGCGCTGCACTCTCTTATGACATAACAAGTGTCGGCTCCGCCCACGAAATTGAAGTGCGTCTGCCAGTCACCTGTGAAAGACAGTAGTGCTATACTTAATGAAAGGACTTTCGCTCCAGCCAGTGGTGTCGCGGCCACTTTGTGACATGCTGCTTTGTGATTACTCTCTTGAGCACGGTGTGAAGGCAGTCTGTCACAAGGTGCCGATGAAACGGCGTCGCCATTAGCTGGTAGGGTGGTCTTTCAACAGCGAAAAGTTGCCTTTTTCTTGAGTTGTACCTGAGTACAGCTGGTTTCTGCTCGTAGCATAAGTACATACTTTTCTCTCAGCTAATGCCCGCCCGTATAGAGACTTGAAAGATTGTCATTTCTACCTAAACGATTTATCATGACATTCAGGTTTTTGAGCTGTAAACCAAGTCTGTATAGGGAAGTAAACTATATGAAATTCCCGAGAAGTGCTTGATGCTGCAGAAATAAACAGGCGCTATCAGTAGAGTATTTAAGCAAGTTCCCTGTGGGAAGGATAGTGATGGCTGTGGGCGGAGCTTCGTTTTTGCTTAAGCTGTAGTCTAGTTAATTATGGCTCATTTTGTATTTTCGCCTACAGATGTGTTATTTGCCGCTCACTACCACTTTTTTTCATCTTGTGTCACTCAGACGAAGACTTCCAACCAGACGCAAGCGACTCTGATGACGAGGAGACGATAGACCGCGAGGAGACGACGGCACCGACTGACCAAGAAGAGCAGAGTCGGGAGCTGGAGCTGCTACAGAAAGAGAGTGAGCTGCCCATTGAGCAGCTCCTGGACTCGCTACCACCAGAGATTCTGGAGCGACCAGCCTCGCCTCTTTCGCACACCAATGGCAGGGATAACCACAAAGCTGAGGAGGACGAGGAGGAAGACGGAGGCAGCTCGGAGCGGTCGGGAAGCCCCATTGATGTGAGTGCTGGCGTTGCCTAGTCAATGATAGATCTGGGTAGGTTTAGACCCCCCCCCCCCCCACCTCAAGTAAGAAAGAAGGGATGCCAACCAGTCAAAACAAGATGTTTGAATGCCAGCTTTGTCTGAAAGGAACTTCATCATTGGCAATTGCTGCAACAACAGACGACCCGCCGCTGTCGCATTCTTTGCTAACAGTGTTTTGCGGGTTCAGTTGAGTTCACGTTGTGTTGTTATAGGACGATCTTGCGCATTAAGGGAGGACACGGGTCTCAGAAGGCCAAAAATCGCAAAAAAGTCTACTTTTTGAAGCTGACATTTTCGAAATCTGCGCCTATTTTTGCACTTATCTGAGAAGTTTCTAGTTTCTCGTGTCATTATTTCTGGTGCAAAATCAATTTATAACATCCCTGTGAGATAAATGTGAGCGCAAGTTGACGCTAAAATCGCGCTTTTTCCGCGCCAAACCGCTGGCTACCTTGCTCATTGGTTTTTTAGCAAAAACGCGCCGAGAAGCACTAGCGCGTGATTCAATTGGCTGCTTGGGGCACGTGACCAAATTTAGGCATTTGATTGGCCAAGAGGAGCTCTCGGCGTCTGCTTCACCGTCGTGACGCGCACGGACATGCCCCATTTTGTCATGGTGATACTTACTGCTTGCGGCAGTAAGAAGTTCCGTGCTACAGTAATTTGTGAAGCGAGTTTGGCGGTGGTTCGTTCGCTGTGAACTTCAGAAAGATCTCTGCTATGGCTCAGGACAACGAGGATAACGAACTCAACGCGGTCAACGAGTCATCGGTGTAGGCCTAATCATTTACGAGCTCGTTGGTTGCCGACGTTACTGAGAACGGCTGTGTTTTAGAGGACGGCAAGTAAAAATCAGAAGTGAAACTACCAGAGATATCAATCGTTGTAGTGACGGAACGGAAGTGCAGTCTTATCGCTAAACCCGCCGATGTTGTGGTTCCCCCGCCTGACGAAAGGACCTTGAACTGTGCGACGGGTTGTCAGAGTGGAGTACGCCGCGCGTCGACCAACAACAGAAAGTCGATCCGTTCGCAGTGAACATGCTCGCGGCCCTCGCAATGGAGGCTACTGGCAACAGGTAGCCTGCTTTTAACGACGTGTTCGCCACGTTGTCGCGATCTCCGCTCGAAAATGCGGCAGTCTTACGTGAAAAGGAAACTAACACCTCGGCACTCGTGTAGCCTCGAAATTGATGAGCGAGGAAGCAACTTTGGTTCGCGACACTTAGGGGTAACTTATTCTGGACAAGCCGGAAAACATCGCCGTGTTATTCGATGGATCGTGGATGACGCACGCACATTTGTCGCACATCGCCGTCAGTACAGTCACCGAACTGATAAGTGGCCGCGCGGCAGACGAGCACACGGCGACAACTTGCTACAAGACTAGAAAAAACGACACGCTCGTACAAACGATCAGTCCTATTACATTCCCGGTGCATATTAACTGACTAAAAGTATGTATGCCATGATATTTTTCCCTCGGAACGGCGAAATTAAGTTTTAACAGCATTATTCTCGAAGCACAGATTTTGACCACTTTCTTTTGCTTGTTCGGTAAAAGTGCACCTCGGACAGCTAGAGCTGTAATTGTTTTTGCACAATGTAGCTAAATGTGCACAAAAAACAATGCTGGGAGCCTATTTAGAGTGGGCAGCTTCATTTTTTTTTATTTTAATATAAAAATTTCTGTATTTGGTTACATGCAATGAACTTTACTTTGCTGTAATTCGAGAAGTACTCGTTAAATTTTCGATCAGCTTGCAGCATTGCACTCCTTAGGCTTTCTAGCATTCACTTATATGTCAATGGCTATGTAAATATTAGTGCATACATTTTTACAGTTAAAAATGTCAGAATTCTTTGTTTTCTTCATTTTCTCAAAATGACAATTTTGTACACCCTTCATGAAAATTACTGCAATATATCTGAATTTATTACATATAGCAGAATATTTTATTTTGCAGTATGAAGCTATATGTTTGGAGCACACAACATAGGAAGCAGATTTTGATTTCTCTTGATGCAAGTTTTTCAAACTAGTCTCTTGTGTGACCACACAATGGCTACATCCAGGGCTGTGAAGTCTAGTGTACTGTAAAGTAAGAAATAATGACCCATTCAAAAAAGTGCTTCTTATGTTGGATGTCTTATGCTTTCTACTGTCAATCCCTATGTTATTTATAAATTTTTGGCAGGTGGCTATTTTTCTATTATGGTAAGAACAATATAAATTATCTTAATTATTTAATTAACTAATGAAGCTACAGAAAAAATAACTACATTTTTAGAATCTGGAGAACAAACTAAGTAAGCATACCAACTTCTGTCATACTTGGTTCAAAAATAAATGAGAGAGCCCTAAGAACCATGTCCCCCCTTAAATGGGGCACTAATATAAAACAATAAATTAGTTTAGACTGTTAAAATGTACTCAGAGGAAACCTAGTGCTGAAATTTTCACCGTAGGTTAGTATACTAGAAAATTGTTGTGCATTTTACTTCTGAATTTCCAGCCAAAATCACTGATGGTCACGAATTTCAAGGTGTTTTTTGAAAACACTTTGGCCACATTTGTTAACAAAAATGTTCTTAATCTTGGCATGCTTAGTCTCGGACTCCTTCAGAAGACAACGGATTAGTAACTACTTAGGCCATGGTATATGTCATCAATATCGATGTCGCGACCACTAGTGCAGGAACGTCAAGGTGGTGTCACCAGCCGGCATTTTCTTTTAGCAAATTTTCTCGTTTACTTAACATCTTCATGTAGCCAATGTGGGGCTATTGGCATTGCGGAAAAATAATTTACTAATACAAAAGAATAAAAAGAAAAGGTTTTTGTCTTGAGTGTCTATTTTGAGTCATCTTGGGAGATGCCACTTCTAATCCAATTATTAAAGTGACACTAAATAGCAAAGTATGATATGGGTATTAGTGAAGTACAATGTCACCATGCCAAAAACATCACTCTTATAGTGACATGGCGCTTGGTAAGTAAGAAAACGAGCAAAAAGAAACTGCGGGTGGAGGCCCCACCTTAAGATTCCTGCACCAAACACCATGACATCATAGATTTGAAAGGCATCTACCAGTTCCTACGTAGCTTCTGATTGCTAAAAATGATGTACATTGTCATCTGTGGGTGCCATACACCAAGCTTATGGAGTTTCAGAAAATTTCGAGCTGATGTTGTGGGAATACAAAAAATACATCTGGAAATTTTTGACATCAAGCGTGGAGAACTCTGTGCAGCATTTAAAAATGAAACTTCCACCTTGATTTTCTCTGCTAATAATAAACTTAGATAGTGAAACATATTGTATTAGTGTCCTCAGAGTGCAGTTTAATTATTCAAACCAAGTCACTGTTTTCTTTAGTGTCTCTGTAAGCACTATTTGTCACCTCTGATGTAGTGTACTTGTTGCATAGGTGGAGACCACACAGGAAGACGAGGAAGTTGGCGGAGTAGGTGACGAGGCGGATGGTGGCGACGATGACTTTCAGGTTGAAGACGAGGAAGATGACGAGGAGACCCTTGAAGAGCAGGAGAAGCAGGAGAAGAGCGTGGATTACAAGGAGGAGCTCAAGGAGCTCATGATGGAAGGTGTGTGGGCTGCAGGCCTCCACCTCACTGCATTGCCCAGGAAAATCGGGCATTGTGATCACATAGCTACCACAGCTTCATCCTACCCAAAAGACGATGCGAGCACATAACCACTTTTCAAGTCCGTTTCTGTAACAGAGTTTGACGTTTTGATCAACAGGACAAATTTTCTTTTTTAATATAAGGGTTAGATGCTCAAAGCAGCATCTTCTCTTAGGGAGAGAATGTAGTTGTCTTCTCATTTATTGTCACTAAAGCAATATCTACCAATCGAGAGACATTATTAACCAACATTATTAAGTATGTGCCTCACTTAAAGGTTTTTCTCGGCATAATGTTTATGCGGTGCAGTCCGAGCAAAGTATTTACAAATGCATTGGAATCTCCTTTTCAACAGGGGCGATGGCGGCACACTAGGCCTGTGAAAAATAGAGTAAAAAATGACCATTTTATAAGGGTGTCCCCCTCACCCCAAAAAAAGGTTCCGGCTACGTCTCTGCTCTTCACACATGCTTAGCAAAACGTTCCTGCCTGATAAGTCCCAAGCTGTCGCTATGCTGCCTGCTATAAGGTTGTTCCTGGCCTCGGCACATTGGTCGCAGCAACGTTAACCTCGTGTTGTAATTGTCTGCTTCCTTTCTGCTGTTTTGCTTAATCCTTTGAAAAGTGTAGGGTTTTTACTGTATCTAGCCAGTTGCCATCAGTGACTGCATTGCCATAGTTGTATCTTTTTTTTGTTCGGTGTTTTAGGAGAAATGCCACTGGATGCCTTGTATGAAAAGTACAGTGCTGCATATGCCAGTGATGCTGAAGTGCCAAAATCTGCTGGGAGCTCTGAAGATGAGGATGACGACGACACCGCTGACAACGAAAGAGGCAAGTTGCTGGAGTTTTTCTTCGAGGTGCTCTGCTCATTGTGTCCCGAGGTTAAAAATCACAGATACAGTATTTGCATGTATATTGTTCAATGAATGTCTGTTATTGTTTGTTGTTACTAAATTTCTCTGCTGTTTGAATCCTCAGGACCTTCAGCCAACAAAAAGGGAGGTGTTGCGGTGTAATCAAATGTATGCTAGTGCTTCTTTACTGTATCCTAATTATTATGTCTTCTGGAGCCCTCTGCCACAGTTCTTTAGTTTCATCGCAATTATCGTAACTTTGTCGTAATCTCAGTTCTGTACTGACATGTTACTCCTTGTAACAGGCCAGGTAGTGTGAAAATGAAAACGCTAGTTTGTTGGCTACTCTGATTTCGGCTGCAATGTTGTGCAGATACAGAAAACTCTGATGAAGAGATGGATGAGGAAGAGGAGGAAGAAGATATGGACACGTCGAGTGAGGGCGAGGTACAAGAGGAGATTGGCATGGAGTACCTGATCAACCCTATGTCGAATGAAGACGACTCTGAAGTGAAGGTGATTCTTTCTCAGGGTCTTGAGCGTTATTCAGAGTATGGGCTGCCTAGAATCTTTTCACCTCTTGAGGCTTGGTTGGTGTTGTGAGAAGTTAGTGAAGTGGTTAAACATTGGCAGGCAGTGTAAAATGTTAGTCTTGAAAAAGCATTCGAGGAAGAGATGGGTGTGATGTACGGTCGACATCCGATTTCCCGGACCTTCAAAGGACCATGAAAATGTCCAGAAAATATGGCAGTCTGGAAAAGCGATTGCACGTGGAAATGCACCTTTTTTAGTGGTCTTTTCCACTGGTGGAGAGAGTCACGGCAGGAGTACAATATTCTTGTTGCAATCCAGTGAATGCATTATTTAGGTGGCTCTGAAAAGAGCCATTTGTCAAAAAGAAAAAAAAAAAAGGAAGAAAAAGGTCTTCGTCGTGGCCGACGTTATCTCATTGTCAATACTTTGGAAATTGTTGTTTATTTCTTTTTGCATAGCATTCCGCTTGCTTGTGATGATGTCTGCCTCAATTTCAGCTAACGGGATGCCGTTGCTGTACACCAATGACAGTGTCATCAATGCTCGCGTCAACTCTGAGCTTGTTGACTTTATAGGTGCTGCCTGTTTAATATCAGGGTTGGAGTCGTCAGAATCTTCTGTAAATTGACGAATGATTTTGTCATCGGTCAATTCTGCACACAGCTCGAGGTCATTGTCAGCGTTGTGAAAGCCCTCAAAGGTTTTGCCGGCTGCAATTGAAACACCGGCAGCGCACAGATCGACAAAGCGAACGTCCAGGGCGGAAGTTTGTCACATGTGTGTGCTGTTTACTCTGGGCGAAAGGGCTGTCTTGGTGAACTTGCTTGAAGAAAAACACGGCACCAAACAGCTAAAAATGTGGATGTTGAAGATCTGGAAACATGAATGCTGAAGATAGTGTGCAGCACCACACTTTCTACCGCACTACATTATCTGACCACACTAACGAACACCGTGCTGATTTAACTGCAGGTCTGACTAAGCTACGGCTGACGGCAGATTAGTGTGTGCTAGATTGCGGCAATTGTGGTTCCGAGGGTACGGCAACCGCGGCGTGGTGCTGCTGGTCACACCTGAAATCCAAGTATGGTGGGTTCGAGGGTACGAAAAAAACCAAAATGGTGGCAATGATGGTGACTTAGAGTCTGCGGTTAGTGGTAAAAGGTCTGGAAAATCGGATGGCGACTGCTAAAGCATCCGAAATTTCTGACTTTTTAATATATTGACTCTATGGGGAACTTGAGGGTGCCACAGATGAGTTCAGGAAATCAGGCTGTCCCATAGTTTTGGCGCCTGAGAAATCTGACGTCAACTGTAGAATAACTGATGCAGCTGCTCGTTTGTTTTTAAACAATGTCTTAATATAACAAATATGAACTTTGTCACCTTGATTTCTGATAACCTGTGATGGGACCTCATGTGCTGTTAAGCCCTTTACATGGCTACATGAAGTGGGTTGTCTCAACCTTATTTAGCGTTGGCTACGCATAGCTGTGCCTTATTCTGGAGCTCTACACGCAACCTACTAATCACCGGCTGTTTAGCACTAGTCTTTGATCACGTTGTAGAACATATGCTGTTCTCCAAACATTCTGTCGTGCGTGTGTTTAGGCGGAAAACGTGATGGAGGATGCGTCGGGCAAGGGCCCCACCAAAGAAATCACTGACATAGCAGCCACTGCCCAGAGCTTCCAGCCCAAGGGGAACACCCTCTCCACCACACAGGTAATTTGTACTCCGTTTTTTGTGAAGCCTAAAGGGAGCCTTGCAACCTTTTTTCAACTAGCCATGGATTGGATTTAGTAAATTGGCTAATTGCCTCACGAATTGACCACCGCAAAGATTTTTAGAATCTGTTCAGTACAATCGAAGTTGCACATATTTGTCGCATACTGCTATTGCATTCTATTTTTGTCTCGTTCCGATGGAAGATCTGGAAGCTAAGCAAGGAGGGATGGTACGGGGGAGGAAGGTACGTCAAGCGTGCCTCGTGACCTTGAGCACTTTCTCGCTTTTTTGTGAACGCGCGGCTTTACAGTGCACCTGTGGACATGTCGCGACCTCAGTAAGTCTCTAGCGTGCCATGTTCGAATCAGCCAATGTCGTAATTCTTGGGCCTGTGATGCACTGATTTTTGAGCATGTAGCATCACTTGTCATGAGAACCTGATTTTTTAGCTGACACTGAAAATTTATTGTGAATTCTAGGACGCATGCGTGTGTTCTCAGTATATCAATCGGCAGTGTTTTCTGACCACGGTCAAAAAGTATTGCAGGGCCCTTTTAAATGTACGTGCCAGCGTGCATAGGGTTGTTGTCCAAGTGCCAGATCTTTTTATTGATTGTAGAATCTGTGTACAATCTACCGTATTTACTCGCGTAATCCTCGCACTCCCGTAATTCTCGCACCCCCCACATGGCCCAACAAAAATACGATTTCTTTTTTCCCTCAAGTAATGATCGCACCCTCGAAAACTGCCGCAATAATGTCGTCTGCTCGTTCGAACCACTGATGATGATAGGGCGGGCCATCTGGCGCCATCTCTTAAGCATTAAGCGTACTATTATTGCATGAAGATTCAATTCGATCCAAGCCAAGCCAAAGTGGCAAGTATGCGTTGCAGCATGTTTTGTATGTTGTGTCGGTAACCTTGTCACGTTATGGGGTGATACTGAAGCTACACGGCTGCTTTCAAGTTGAAAGTGATAGAACATGCACTAAACAACGGTAACAGGGCCGCTGGTAGGCCCTTCGGGGTCTATGAGTTCTGTGTTTGCTAATGGTGACGGCAGCTGTAAGCCACCAAGACGGTGATGGTAAAGTTTATTTCATCTGAAGGAAAGTGCGCACAATTCTGTCAAATAGCCATCAGCCCAATACTGGCGTTCTATGCTTTTTGAGGGCTCCTGTTGAGCGACGTACGCTGCTGCTACACCCTAAGCTTTGCGTATGGTATTCTAATTCTCGACTGTTTGCTTGCACTTTTTGTGTCTCAAATAAATCTTGCCTTTTGTTGAACCTGTGCGTTTACTGTTGAGGTAAGCTTAGTACTTCTCAAAGCTTGCTGTTAGTTGCTGGTGTGAGAATCCCGATTTGCGGCCACTTCGTTTTCTCTTTCGCTCTGTACGTTTTCGTGGAGAGTTTTCCCTGTGTAATTCTTGCACCCCCCAACATTGCATCGGTTTTCCGCCAAAAAAAGTGAGAGGATTATGCCAGTAAATACGGTAATAAGGGTCATGCTTGTGTGAGGGCTGCTCGCCCGCCAACTCAGCAGTCCACTTTTTTTTTTTTTTGAGGGGGGGGGGGGGGGGCTGCGTGTGTGTGCACACACAAGCACACAAACTGATCATATGATGAAGTGTTTAAACTTCAAGTTGTCGCATGTACCGAATAAAATTGAAAACAGCAGTGGGGCCAGAATATCCAAGTTGAGCAAAAATTTCACACTTCTGTCAAAGGACCAAAATCGTGGAATCAAGGTGTGGCCCTTACACGAATCCGTGCAGTACCTGTGGCCTATTGCACTGATGTACACTTGCGTCTTCCTCTTTCTTGTTTCTCTATTTCAGTTAAACTTAACAGATATCATTTTGAACCGGTGTTACACTATAACCTCGTTACAATGGATCTGCTTACAACAGACATTCGTGTACTACGTTCTAATTAGTGGCTATAGCGTTTCTCACAAAAATACCTAGAGTAAAGTGTGGCGCCACCGTCTATGCGAATTTCTTAAGGGGCCCTGTTGGAGTGCTGGGAATGACGGTATATGTGTCTGCGAGGCTTGTGTTGGCTGCTGTCTGCTCAAAAGTGAATCCTACTGCGTTAATAAAGCTTTTCTAAAACAAAATGTTTATAAGCGAATCTCACTCACGCGTGTTATATGCTAGAATAAAAGCCCACTTACATTGACGGCATAACCAACAATGGCGAAAGAAACAGACGACATAAAAGTCGCGGAGGGAACGCTGGCTTTGTCGCCTGCTTGCCAAGTTTGGCGGCCGTTGGTTACTTCTTAAACTTCGTAAAATTATACATCGACGCAGAAGGTTCTAGTGTTAAGGGGAGATGCTACTCGAAAAACGATTTTCTTTAATAAGAGTCTGAATTAACACAAATTGGCATGCTAATAGAGTTTTTTTCTCCTCTTTTCAAATATGTCATTTATTTTCATGTAGATTGCTTGGTTTTCTTTCTGCTGGTCAGATACCGCAAAATTATGGCCATTGTTATGCAACAATTCTGACCTATAAAAATTTGAGATAAAGCATGCAGATATAGCTGACTATGATCCTTTGGAACTGTAGAGTGCAAAAAACTATATAAATTTTGTGTGTAAAAAGGTGAAATACAATAATAAAATAGAAAAGTTTACTATGGTTCTAGTTGCCAAGGGCTTTCAATGTTATGTAATTTTTGAAAAACATAAGCAGCACTGACAATCTGAATAGATACTTGCACTCTATGGGCCTTCATCATGCTATGTGCTGTGCAAAATTTCATAGAGGTATGACAATTCTAAGTGTACGAACTAGCGTGTATAAGAAGCACAGATCACACAAAACTGCAAAAGGAGAAAAACGCATTTGAAAGTTTGAAACCTTTTTTTTTTATTACGGAGTTGTTAGAAATGCATAATCTTTGGCCATAATGTTCAATAGAACTTTGAAAAGCACTGCAAGTTACTAGAACTGTCCTGCAGCATAGGTTGTGCCCTCACGGTCCTTGCGAGCACTCTCTTCTAGCCGTGCCCTTTTCACTCCACGATGACGGTGGGCCCTTGCTTCTGCTGCCAGACGCTCGGACATTCTCTTGATACGCCTCGCATCACGAGAATCACTGAACGTAACTAGATCTCTAGATAGCAGTATGTTGAGCTCTTCCAGGATGTGCTCGAAAGTAGCATGACCCTTGTTGAACCACAGGATTGCCATAGCTGCGGCAGTCTCGACAACCGTTCGGGAGACAAACTTAGTCTTGGGGCAAAGTAGCCAAATTTTGCTGTTCAGAGATTCCGATGCGTTCTGGGTTTTCCCTTTGATGCATCGAGCAAGGAGCTTCTCATCCGTTAGCCGCTTATAAATGGGCAAAACAGCCCATCATTGTGCTTTTGTCAGGAGAGCTGTGTGGCGTGGTGCAGGTTCACCAAGTGCTTCAGCGCGTTGATGTTTGCACCACGACTCTGTTCCTGCAGGGCAAAACTTGTGGCTGCCAGCATTGTCAGTAGAGCATGAGTGGAAGTACGAAGCCCATACTGCAGTGTACATATCCCGTACACTTCCCCTGTTGCTTGTTATGGCAATCTCATAGTATGTTTGGAGCTTCTGAATGGCTGGCTCTTTCATTTTCTGCCCTCGTGGTAATGGCACATGCAGCTTCCGTAGCGCGATGCCAAGTCTCTTGGCCACATGATTAGTGCAGTCTTCTTTTTCTATATTGACAGCACCATAGACTTTTGACTCTGCAACTGCACTATATGCTTTGCTGTCACCGTCACTCAAGAATGCCATGAAATGCAGTGGGGTGTGATAAGTCAATGTTCTCTGCCAAATGCGCATTGCAGCCTCCGTTTCCATGGCATGGGAGGAACAGTCTGCATTTTTTTAACAGACTGGGCCATGGAATGCCTGCCAGACTTCCTCGTCTGGGCCCATATCCTTGTGCCTACTGCATGTCAGGCAGTAATTTGATATGACCTCGAAGTCTAAGCAGAGGCCAGTATCTAAGGAGATAACTGCGCCAATCTCGTTGTGGCTTTTGTGGCCCCTCTTCTGCCAAGTGCCGTCGAACATAACAGCCACATCAGTTTCGCCTGCTACTTCTTTCGTCAACTCTCTGGATCGGCGCAAGTTTTCACTCACAGCTGCCATGGCAGCGGTGTGCATCTTCTCTGCTATCGAAAAAAATTCTCGGTGGTGCATTGGCTTTGGGATTCCAATAATGGAGCAAAATCGACAATTGCTCATGCCCAATGCCGACAGCGCGTGCAGCCACCACCGTCTTCACATTTACAGCGAAACTATCTCGGGAGCTCCCACTGTCGTACCGTTGGCTCACTCGCTGCTGCCGTCCGCCGTAACACGCAGTGACGTATAGGAGCACGAAAGAACAGTCGCTGAGCATTCGCTGTTTTCGCAATGAAGTTCGAGGAGCGACGAAAGTCCCTTGCGCTTTTCTGCCGGCTCCCGAACGGCAAGTTTTTGAATACCGCAAGCAGGGCATGCCGCACCTGCCACAAGTGCCGTCAGCAAGAGGGTGTCGCACAAAACATTCGTTGCACAAACCTCATCGCGCTGTCTTTCGTCTTTTTCGAAAAAGCCGAGCTTCTTTTCCGAAGCACTGACGAAACAAACCGCAGCGTCAATCCCTTGATCGCAGCCACTGTCGTTCGCGCACTCGTCGATGCCGCCGTCAGGCCTAGCACACGTAGGCGCGTTCTCGTTCGTCGCCGTCGTTCGGGGCGCTTTACGCCGCCTTCCCTCGAACTTGTGCTTCGTTCGAAACTTCTGCGGTCTCACGTTGCTCTTTTTTGGGCTTGTCATCGCGGAAATATGCGTAGACGCGCAGAAAAGCAGACGGACCAAATGCGGATGGCCGCCAGCAACACAGCTGACAATGACTCGGTAGCCAATGGCGGTGCGGCTTAGGGTGCCGCGCGTTTCAAACCGCTCAAACCACGTGATAAAAAGGCCTCGTTTTTTATTTTTTTTTGTCCACGTACGAAACTGGCGGTCGTCGGAGCTGTAAAAAGAAGGCCGGACGCAACTTTCCCAACCGATAGCGATGGCGGGTGGCACTGCGACGGGGAGCAGCGCGCTGTCAAAGATGGCCAATATCGGCACAAATTCACGAAATTTTGAGCCACCGCGATGCCTTCATACACATTTTTTTGCATTTTGTGGTTCAAATTTAGTTTTGAAATTTTCACAGATGAAAGAAGAAGGTTTGAAGATTACAATGTAATAAAAATCAGAAATATGAGAAATTTCGCTAAAAACGCGATTTTTTGACTCGCATCTCCCCTTAAATAAAACACGTTTCTGCATAGTGACAAAATAAATGGCTTATTACGTGCTTTTTTAGTAAGAAATCGATAATTTTAACGTGAAGTCAGACGCGTGTATTCGAGGTATACAAATAGGAGTCAAGTTCGAAGCTCACATATTCTATCATTCCCTTGCATCCAGCAGCTCACTATCACCAGGTTTCCTTCTAGGTAAGTTTGTGAGAAACTCTTATGTTGGCGGCGTTATGCTTACCTTCTTATTTGTTCTATTTGCTGTACTTCGTTTACTACCAATTGTGGTACATCAGACCTTCGGATATATTTGACTAAAATGTGAGGCCTGCAAGTTGTCAGGACTTCTTTGCAGTGGACTTTTCCACCACGAACATCCTAAAGTGATCAACTTCCGACTTTTCAAACACCGGTTAGCATACTTCCAGGATGGGAATAGCGCACCTTGGATATCGACGTAAAAATTTAAGAATGAAAGCAGCCGATTCCTGGTCTGATCAGTTATGCCTTACGTTGACAGAAAATTTGTGCGCCGCGCGTGCTTGATTTTGTGTTTAGAATGAAAGCAGCCGATTCCTGGTCTGATCAGTTATGCATTACGTTGACAGAAAATTTGTGTACCGCGTGCTTGAGTTTGTGTTTGAGTGCTGATGCGTGAAATGCCCATACACAGTTCTGATGAACCAGCAGCTGATATGATTTGTTGCTTGCGACGAAGCACATTATGGTATCTTCGCTGTCGCATGTCGGCTGGAGCGATAGCCTTGCCCGCAAAGTTCGGAGCAGAGTTGGGCCTAGCCACAACATCAAAGCAGAAAGCACTGTTGCGATCTTCGGTGCCGCAGTGCTCAATGTTTAAAATATTTGATGCTCAATCACGAGTGCATAGCTCGATCGAGAGTACAAAGAGTAGTCTCTCTATAGTTTTCAGCGCAGTACCTATAAAACCGGATCCATGTTTGCGACAAGTGCAGCGCGCTATTATAATCTGATGACTAAACTTCCCCTTACAGCTGCCTTAACTAAAGTGTAACTGAATTCTAAATTATCGCCGACTTGTGAATGCAGAACGAGTGGGAAAACATGACTAAGCGCGATTTTTGACAACTGTGACCTCGTGATGCACAAGCTGCAGACAATGCTATCTTAGAGCAAGAATCTGACCGATGGTGAGGCGTGCTTGAGGAACAAGGCGGAAGCAGCCAGTTGGAGACCTTGAAATGAATGTCAAACATCTGTGTATCTGAAAAGAGGAGCTGGTTGCGCTTTACAAAATACTTTTACGACGAGCCCAAAATGGTAGCGCACGGTAGTGCCGTTGTAAAGCTGTAGCTGATAAAGGAGCCTTCATGTGCGTGCCTCCGTTATGGAAGCCTGGAGAGAGGCATACGTGAAGGCAGAACTACGGATCATAGTAGCAGAACTGTGATTTGAAGGCAGAACTACGGATCATAGTAGCAGAACTGTGATTTGAAGGCAGAACTATGAATCATGCTAGCAGAACTATGATTTTTTTTTTGCTACTTCTGCAATAATTTTCGCCACTTCGGCAGGGGCAAAAACTTTTAACAGCATTTCTATGTAGTTTTCAGTGAAGATATTTTGAAAGCAGATAGAAAAAGGGCAAGAAAAACTGAAAACGTGACAAGTTTTAACAAGAAATTTTTTATGCCCCCATTGAGAATTGATTCGTTGACGACTGGTAATTTTCTTCACCTATAACAGATCCATTCATTGTTTTAATGAATGTCTGTTGTAGCAGTACTTGGATTTGATGTACTCCTTTCACAACAGACTAACATCATGCTTGCTATTTAGGTCTGTTGTAACGAGGTTATATTGTACTAGATTGGCAAGGTCACGTTTGGATTGCTACTTTGTTTAGTATTTCTTTTATAATTTTCAGGTCCAAACGAAAGTGCCCTGGTTGTTGAAGCACAGCCTGCGAGAATATCAACACATCGGTCTCGACTGGCTTGTCACCATGCATGACAAGAAGCTGAACGGCATCTTGGCCGACGAAATGGGCCTGGGAAAAACAATACAGACAATCTCCTTGTTGGCGCACATGGCTTGTGATAAAGGTGCGGTTTATGTTTTTCATGTCTACGTGCCATGTTTTGCTCTGCACCGTTGCGACATTGTGGAGATTGAGGCTTGCCCATCACCATTGGGTGGGTTATCGCCTCTTCTGCTATCCCACAATTGCGATCATAACTCTACTCTTCTCTGCGATCCTACTCAGCACTAGATCTCAATAGAGATCCTATTGCGGGTGTTGCAAGCGGTTGTCGTTTGAGAGTGTCGCAAGACATTTTGCGTGAGCAACAGGGAGACATGGACAGTGAAGGGTGAGCATGTGCTTGTCTTTGTCTATCGGCTCTCTTGTTTGGGCTCTCTGGGACGAAAGTTCGCTAACGGTGCCTTGTGCCAGTGGTGTGGTTTGTGTGTGGTCACACTACATCAAGCCACACGTATCGAAAGCCGACGGACACGTAGTTTTACCATGCCTAGAGCGATCAGGCCCTGTGGTTGCTGATCGTCAAAAGTCTGCAGCATGGCCACGAGGGACTTTTTTTGCTTAGCAGCATGTCGTATTGAGTCCCATTGTCCGTGGAGACGTGCTAGCGGCACTTTTTGGGGTGTGGTTAAGCCTGTTTGCTTCTCCTGCCGCTTTTGGGAGCGGGCGTGTTATGTTTTGTCGTGTTGCTGCAGGCAATAAAGCGTTGCAGATCTACTGAGAATGGTACTGTGTACTTGATTCGCTGCGCTCGGCGCTTTTGCTCTCCTAACACGCCTGAGCAATGACAACGGCGAATTTCGATCTTGCAAGATATCTGCACAATACAATGTTCAAGGCATTTGAAGCAGGGAACAAAAAACTGAATGCCCAGAGGTGAAACTCCTGCGCCACCCTGCTTCAAAACACCCAACCTGACAATCGTATGTGTTTTCTGTCCAGATTTAGCAGACATTGTGTAAAGAACTGCGATCCTGCTTTATTCGTGATTTAAGATCTTTCTGCATTTTTTTTGACTATGTGCTCTAAAACATGGTTTTTCTTCTCCAAAATGCCATTTATAATGCCCTCTGAAGAGCTCCTAAAGCACTCTGAGCTGCTCCACCACTAAATGCCTTTTAGGAAATAATCGCTCGAAATTGCAATCTTGTACCAGAAAGAGGTTTAGAACATGCACTGAGTATGTGTGCAGAATTGTGGTAACATTACATAAATTTCTAGAAGTGGAAATTGAATAATGCATTCTAATCAGCCATAACTTAGCACCTTCATTAGCACCCCAGTGCATGTTTGTACCGTGCAGAAAGTTCTATTGTCAATTTGTTTGTGTTTTTGCCAGCGCAGATAGTTGCTTGACTTTGGGGGATAGTTATTGCCTTCGATACAACAAGCACAACAGGCTTATGGCTTCGTTTCTGTATGTAGACTCGTAAACTTGGGCAACAACTGCACGATTAGAGAATAGGTGAAAACATAACAAACACATTAATGGTTCGATACAGTATAGACTCCTTATAACGTAAGTCGCGAATGTGTGCACTATAAACAGTACCGCACTATAACCAAAACAGCGTTTTTCAAGGGCCGCACTTCACTTGCACAAAGCATGTTGAGCATGCAGCTTCGTGTGTCTGACAATCGAAACATGCGATGCGTGCTTGTTAACATGTAAATACATGCGTTGCCAATGAAATGAATGCGAAAGGGGTGGGTCTAACAAATCAAAGCACCATCGCGGAAATTCGCTGACCACCTCTATTATGCGCATTACACAGAAACTATGCCAAATCACGTCTAGAATTTCACGCGTTGAAAGACGCCAACTATTTGATTTCATGGGTGCGCACCCGATTTAGGGCATTGCAATCAAATCACGAACCGCTATTAAGCCCGAAACATATGCAGCATTTTTCCGGTGTTTCGTACGCCTGCGTCACTCGGCGTCGACGCTGCCAGTGGCCGAAACTATTGTGTTCTAGAAGGGGGTAGTGGTATCAGGGAGAGCGCGTGGGTGTGCCAGCTGACATAGACGCCGCGAGATGACGCAACCAGCGCCTGGGCTGTACGGAACGCAAAACACAGAGCCCCGGCAATGCGGGGAAAGCCGTGTGTGCTTGGTGTTTTACCGAAAAAAGGAAGCGCGGAGTTATTTAGCATGTTCTTGAAGACTTTCTCTGAGTTGAAACAAGCGCAGAGAAACCTGGACAGGTGGACGTTTTAAGCTAGCGTGAAAATAAAGCTGACCAAAAGTGCAGAAAATGGGTGCAGGACGATACGATCAATTTGTAAACTAAAGGATCGCCAACACTGTAGTCGTAAAAATTTGAATGGTTAAACTGTTGCAATTGCTTTGCCATTGACAATTGTCAAACGTTAGGATTCTATCACATTCACTAGTACGATTTTTTTACGAGCGGTTTTGTTTACATTTGTACATATCCACAGAGAGCTTGCGATTTAATTATTCCCAAGTTAATGCCGCTATGGCGCGGCTTTAGTAGTTACCCGAGATAGCGAAGTTTTATGATGTAGTAAAAAAAAAAGAAAACAAGACTAGAAACAAGAATAACTTTATTGGCACAAAACACCACAGTGTTCTCAAAGTACGTAGCTGCAACTAGAGAGCAGAGCTTCAGCATGCAATTCCTTTTTATGCCAATCATGTCGCGATTTGTAGAGCCCTTTCACATAAAAGTGCAGCATGGTCAGCACATAGAACTTGGTCAACTCTGTTGTGAGCGCACCTGGATGCTGGCTACAACCTAGGTCATTACGGAATTTCTTCACCAGCAACATCACATCCACTGTGCTGTCCTTGCAGAGTTTCTTTCGGCTGAAAAATGTAGTGAAGATGTCTTCCAACTTCTTAACTGCCCTAAAAAGCTCCTGTGAGGGATACAACAAGCCTCCCTTCTCACATATCACAGTGAACTCAGTGTTTATGCTTTCCGTGTTAGGAGATTCCAAAAAAAAAAAAAGTCTTGCAGGGCATGCAATCATTATGCTTCAGAAACTTAATTTCGAGCAACATGACCTGCCATATAATGTATTAGACAGTCATCGCTCTTCTGCTCTACCAACTTTCTGTGCTCTGCAGGAATACTTTGAAACATTCGTTCAGATGATAGTAGGGTCCCTTTCTCAATCAGATGGTCCACTGCAGAAACCTGGCTTCCATAGCTGGAGGATCTTGCGCACTCGGGAGAGAACCATTTTCACACTAGCTCCGTTAAGGTCAAGTTTGTCCGAGCGTATGGTCTTAGCAAGGTTATAAAATTACAGGAAATTATTGACAATTAGGAACTGCGTGGGTTTAAGTTGATTGCTGGGTGCGTCCATCTTCGTTTGCGCGTGCGGCCGTCACAACAAGCGCATGAAGCACCAGCTGCCGCCACGCCAGCCAGCCCTCGTGACTACAGCGCCGCCACCAACATCCGGGTCTCGTCCACACTCGCTCACTTCCATGCGTAGCGCGCTCCGGCTGCTGATCCCACTACCCCTTTCTAGAACACTGTACGGAAACATCCACTTCTGGACCATTCAGATAGATATTTGCAGCACTGGCGCCAACGCTGGAAGCAAGTCAACGAATGGAGAACCAATCAGCGCACAGCTGCCAGTTACTTCTGCTATGTAACATCATCGTCCCTGCTGTCAAAATGACTGCCGCCCGCCTCACATTTATTAAGTCGTCACTGTACCCTGTGTGACCCGAAAATTCTCAACTGATGCTTGTATTTGAGTTAGCAACAATTGTTCCCAAGAAGCTTCGACAGGAAGCGCTCGAGATCTCTTCGAACCGTTTTCGAGCGCCATAGTAAAGTCCATCGGTAGGGTTAGCAGGCCTGAGTGTAGTGGTTAAATACGTGGCCTCAAAAAATGTACAATAAACTTCCAAGCTCAGGAGCCATATATTGCAAGTTTCTGGTTCTTCCCATTCTCAACAGCTGGCGCTAGAAGCGGAAAAAAACAACTTTTCGGTGGTACAGTTGAATTTCGATAATTCGAACTTGAAGGGGCACGAAAATTTGTTTGAATTAAAAGAAGTTCAAATTAATGAAATCTAAATAAACGGAGGGCTCTCCATGCAGTGGCGCATGTGCATTGAGAAAACACACGAGAGGGAAGTTTCAGAAGACTTACATTTATTCACAAATCACAGGACGTCCGTTATCAATTGAAGTAATCGCTGAAGCGCGTCCGCACACGTTTGCCTTGCATAGCATTTCTACTTCGGCTTCAGTATTCTCCTGGCAAGAGAAGTTGCGTGCAGAAATGGCCAGCGCGGACACTTTATAAAGATGGACAACAGAGGATTTTAGTCTGTCCAACACTCCGGTACGTTTTTGCGTATACCGGGTTGCCGAAGGGTGTCAAGCCGGATAGCGTTGAAAGGAACTTTTTGCACGTTTAGTCCGTACCGCCCAAAAAACACCCGCAATACCTTCGCGGCCGTGGCCGCCTGCATCTGCATATGCGCAAAGTGGAAAGTCTTCCGCGTTTACTGACTAAATATGAAAAGAAAAAAAAAATTGGACAATGCCAATAGATTTCTCGTTACAAAACGGAACTGTGTGTTTGTTTTCTTTACTTGCGCTATGATTTAAACCTAACTATGAAGAAAACATCGGCATCACGGTGATCGGCATCACGAGTTGCTTACACAAGCGCCATGCGACTCATGCCTACTTTTTGTGTTTGGCCAAAACGTGGTGGCTTGAAGATGACGTGAAATGTACGGTCTACTTGTTGTTTTTTTCTGTTTTTTGTGTTATTCCGAAGGAAGTGGGCCACGAGAAGGTCAACGCACTCTTTCACACTTCATGAATTAAGTGTCCGCCGCAGTAGCATTGACACTCTTTCAGTGATTGTGTGCCACCGCGAAGCATTCTCGAAAGGGTTCAGTGCAAGAACGTCTTCGAGGATAGTTTGATCGTCGGAAGGCGAGCAGCGGGCCTCGAAGTAGCCATTTCGTTCTTTACGTTTTTGTTTGGCTTGACTTGACTCGGCTCAAAGGGAGGCAACCTTGGAAGCATGTCGGGCGTTTGGGCTTGTCCGGTAAACGCCCGTAAGGCACGCGCATGCGCAGTTGAGACTCGGTAAACCACTATCCGCAAACTTTTTTCCCGTATAGCGGTGCGCCGGACAGACTAAAATTCCTCTATCAACGACTGCATAGCGGAGCCTCCCGATCTCCGCTACCCAGCCGCAGCATGGCGAGCGCGTGATGAGATAGGAGGAGCCTCTCCACGCGGAGAGAAGCAGATTGGCATTTGAGCAAAAAACCAACACTCCACGGCAACTTTTTTTTTTTTTGCTCTCTTCGCAGGCGTCGTTAAAAGGAGAAGGGTTACGTGGCATTAACGTGAAAGGGGAAGCGTGGCACCGGCGCATAAGAGACCCCTCTCCCCCCTCAAGGCGCAGAGCCGTGTTCCCGCAAAAACTGCAGAAGATAGTGCCTTTTTCCTTTCTTTTTATCACACAATCGTTCAACCCAGCGACGGATTTTGTTTTATTCCCTCCCTCTCTTTGCACGCTGCGTTGGAAGGAGGAAAATCTTTACATGGCAGGGACGGAAAAGGGAGAAGCGTGACACGGGCGCGTTGCAGATCGGCATTTGAGAGAGAGCAAACATTCCACCGCAGCCTTTTCCTTTTCATATCCTTCGCGCGCAGCGTTGAGGTGTCGCAGGTGCCGCTGCGTGATTGGGCGAGGTGCTGAGAGATTTACGGAGCGCGGTATGTTTGAATTAACCGTCGCAAGTGCTTGCGCGTTCGAATTACCAGGCGTTTCGCCCATTAGAATACACACAGCTTTGACGGGACCGCATCGTGAGTTCGAATTAACCGGAAGTTCGAAATAATGAGATTCGACTGTACTGTGATTTGTTTTTCTCACCTTAGAAGTGCAAATAAGGCATCAAACCGGGTTTCAAGAATATTTCTTGTTGCTGCATTGACAGACACTGCACACTGCTTTGCAAGGTCTCGGGTTCATTCTCTTCGACACTCTGCGACGCTGAGCTGACGTTATGAGATGGCGCTCCTCATATGGTATGCCACCCTCTCTGGCGGCGTCGACGCGATGACGCCGCGGGAAGCGGCGCCGAAGAAATGCTGGCAAGAACGCTGCATATGTTTCGGGCTTTAGAGTGCTACACGTGCCGCCCTCGTTTTAATTAGCGATATGTATCCCTGCCCGTCAAGTGCGGCCAACGCAAAGAGTTTCGTTGATTCGGTACCAAACCGCAACTTAGATTCACGCGACCACTATCGACCTAAGCGCTACCAACGCCGATTAGGCCTAGCATGCCGCTTGGTATGTTGTCGCGGAAAGTTTGTCCAAGATATGAAGATTGGGCGTCAAAGAGATCGCACTAGCAGTGAACCAAAAACAGTGTGCGTGATACAAAGTTCGCTTTCGCAGCCGGTAGATCAGCAACGACAACAACTCGCCAAGCTTATGTACGACAGTGCACTGGCAACAAAAGTGAAAGCCCGCGTCATAAAACTGTAAAAGATTTTCAATTTGTGGACGAGCAAGCAAACGTGATATTTGTTGCCAGCTCGATAACGACGTCTTTCTCGACAGGAAACTGTTAGGCGCATGCAGTTGATATGGACGGGATCGCACATGCTACGTTGAGTTGCGCGTGGCCGAAGCCATGCTAGCGACGTAGTACGCTGTAGCCGCGTCGGCTCCAGTGCAAAAACTTATCGGTCACCAAGGTCACCTCCTCCCTTACTCGGCGAGCCCGCGCAGTGTCCCGCGGTCCTTTTTTCGTTTCTTTTCCTTCCCTTCGTCCCTTCACTCCGTTTCCCCTGTTCCTCTGTAACGACCTCGTCGTTCGCTTTCCAGTGGTGCACCCAGCGCGCCTCCTTTCAAAAGCACACTTGCTACCACGTTTGTCGCAAACAACTTCCGGCAACCGCATTATAACCGGTCTTTCATCTTATGGGGGACTGCACAATGAGCGGTATGCATATACATGGGGTTCTATGAGAGGGTAAACGGGAGTAGAAAAAGACCGCATTGTGCTTCTGCACTATAAGCGGTTACGTTATAAGTGGTCTGCTTTGTACATACTCACGGCTAAAGGTGTCAGGAATTGCACGCAGGAATCTGGGGTCCCCATCTCATCGTGGTGCCTACCAGTGTGATGCTCAACTGGGAAATGGAGTTCAAAAAGTGGTGCCCTGCCTTCAAGATTCTTACCTACTACGGCATCCCTAAGGAGCGAAAGCAGAAGCGACAGGTGTGTGTGCCTTTCCTGCACTTAATTGAAGTAAATTGCATGAGTGAAAGGAAAATGAAAGCAGAAAGAAGAGCTCGCCGCCTGCAGTGACTGGACTGCTTGGTCCATTTCCCTTTCCTCGTAAATCGGTGCAAGTGATAATCTCCCTGTGCATAATCCACACAGGGTTGGACCAAGCCCAATGCCTTTCATGTGTGCATCACGTCGTACAAGCTGGTCGTCCAGGACCACCAGTCCTTCAGGCGCAAGAAGTGGAAGTACCTGATCCTCGACGAGGCGCAGCACATCAAGAACTTCAAGTCCCAGCGGTGGCAGATGCTGCTCAACTTCCAGAGTTCGCGGAGGCTTCTGCTGACGGGCACTCCGCTGCAGAACAGCCTCATGGAGCTGTGGTCTCTCATGCATTTCCTCATGCCCAGCGTGTTCCAGTCGCACCGGGAGTTCCGTGAGTGGTTCGCCAACCCCGTCACGGGCATGATCGAGGGCAGCAGCGACTACAACGAGAGCCTCATCAAGCGCCTCCACAAGGTGAGCATCATGCCTGTGCCGTGCCGGTCGACCCTTTTGCTACATAATCTACTCCGGTGGCTTTCCTCTGTGTTGTGGAGCAGCGGAAGGTAGAGTGGGGAAAACTGGGACTTTTCAAAGTCATGGTATCCAGTCATCCGATGCTTGTTGAAAATTTGCCATGACGACGATTGTAAATACTACTGGTCATAAAGATGTTTGTGTGCCATTAATGAGTGAAAAAAATTGGCATGCCTTGATAAAAAAAAAAAAAGGTTTTGTCTTATTAAGGCAGGACATCTGTTTTATGTTGGCTTGTTCAGCAAGAGCAGAAGAAAGGGTGTGCAACTTTTGTGTAAATGTTGATGTATACTTATCGGAGCCTGTGTCTGCTAGTGTGCCATGTTCATACTTGCAGACTCTCCCAATTCGTTTGGGAGACTCAAGTTCTGACAAATTCTCTGGATTGTACAAGATTGAGCACTGCCACCGCCTATGCATGGGGCCTTTGTTATTTATGGTTCGGTATAGGCATTAGGTGAATATTTGAGCACTTACAATATTCAAACAAATATTACAGTATTCGAATTTGCTTCGACTTGAATTGAGAAGCTCCAAAAATTTAATAGGATCACAAATTGTCCCTTCTTTTTTGTTCAATTTATGCTGAGCCGCAAGGGAGCCCTTACTTATTCCTTCTGCCACCAGGTGCTGCGGCCTTTCCTTCTACGAAGGTTGAAGAGCGAGGTGGAGAAGCAACTGCCCAAGAAATACGAACATGTGGTCATGTGTCGGCTGTCCAATCGGCAGCGGTACCTGTACGACGACTTCATGTCCCAGACAAAGTGAGTTTCCATCGTGTTGTTTTTTTTGCGCAACTTTTTGAATTTTACTTGCGCTTACGGCAATGCCATCGTTTCTTCAAAAAGGTCAGCTTGTTGTGGCATTCTCGGTTCCCTTGGTAGACATGATTGCATAACTGTTTTGACATGTGGCACAATTGCTTTGCACATTTGTAACAATATGTCGGACAGTTGTGAATACTGCCACTGGATCGCGGTGTCTTATGTTGACGTAATTGGTAGCCTTTGGGCATTTTACGACTTCACTGATGGGCTAGTGGCTCACATATCAGCTTTCTCAGTCTGCTACCTTGATTCTCAGTGTTGGTGTACTTTGACTTGCTGAAGAATACTCCATAAGGCTGTTTTTTGTTAACCTTCTCACTAGCTTAGTTAGCCAACCTAACCTAGTCTAGTTGTGAAGCAACCCTTGATAGGCAGCAGATCCAAGTTTTAATCTAGGACCAGGACGACTTTTTTTTTTCCCTGCCTGAGCTTTCTGTTTAGAATTTTTTTGAAGTCTAGAGTTGCTTGTGAATTAGGATTGTGTTTTCCTCATGACTGTTGCTTGTTTAAGCCGTGAGACAATTCTATGATGTACCAGGAAATAAAAGTGCCAGTCCACTGCTGGTAGATTAATTATTAAAAAGTACCTTATCATTAGACTCTCGAAATGAAATTGGCACGCTACTGTTGCCTGCCTGCGTGAGAATTCATTCTGTTCCTACTGTGTGATCATTATGAGGACATGTCCTGTCCCCCCAAATAGGCAGTTTGTTGCCTAACACTGATAACACAGTCTTGGGACTGGTAGAAAAGCCAAAGGAAAAAAAAAAAACGTATTTACTTGCATGATGAACCCACTCGCATAGTGAACTTACCTTCTCCTTGGTCCTTGAAAAAAGAGAAAAATATATTTTTTAATTTATCTGTTCATTTTACTTCGGTATGATAGCCAGTGCTGTTGACGATCGAAACAGCGCTAAACCAAGCCATTATATCACAAAATAACGACACCGTAAAAGTCAAAACATAGTTTTGCGACCATGCTTAAACAGTTGTGAGCAGCACGAGTGCAGACGACGTTAATCAAAATTAAGAAGCTGCAGCTTTTGTGACAGAGCGCCATCTGTCGAACGCAGGAGAATCCTCTTTGTTTGTAGCGTCACGTAAGCACAGTGGCTAGAACGAGAGAGAGAAAGGAAAGGCCGGGAGGTTAATTAGATATTGGCATCTGGTTTGCTACCCAGCGCTGGGGGCGGGGAAATAGGGGCAAGAAAGAGGGGGTAGATAAAAAAAAATGCGCACTCATGTGAAAACGGAAAACACACACAGGAAGGGCATCCTAGCTACAACCGTTTAGTAAGGCCGGTTGATCGCAAAAAGTGTAGTAGCGCTTTCAGGGCCTTCTGTGAAGTTGCATCTTGTCGATATTGTAGCAATTCCTTGCTCTGACAGAGGTTGATTATCTAATTTGCTGAGTTCTTTGCGAAGGCATAGTCGTTGTTTACTATACTCTAGGCAGTCACAAAGAACATGTTGGATCGTTTCTTCTTTGCCACGATGGCCACAGGCTGCGGTGTCGCCCATCTCAATGTGGAAAGCGTAGGCGTTGGTAAACGCAACGCCCAACCACAGCCTACATAACAGGGTCTGGTCTGCTCGGCAAAGCCTCGACGGGGCTTGAAGACTTAGCGTAGGGTCAAACGAGTACAGTCGGGCATGCTTGAAGTGTGGCTGATTTCCACTGTGATGTGGTTTGCTGGCGAGCAAGCCTGCGGAGCTTTCAGTGCAGGCATCTGTTCTAGAAAGTGGTAGTCGTAGTTTATGATCTTCTGTGTGGGCTAAGCGGGCAGCTTGATCGGCCCGTTCATTGCCGATGATTCCGCAGGGACTGGGTAACCACTGAAATGTAATTTGGTGCCCTCTCTCAATCTGGTGGTGTATAACCTCTGCTATCTCTAGTACCAGCTGCTCGTGTGGTCCACGGCGTAAGGCTGATAGTAGAGACTGCAGTGCCGCCTTCGAGTCGCTGAAAATAGTCCACTTGCGTATAGGTTGATCAACGACAAATTGCTACGCGGCACGAAGTGCTGCCAATTCTGCTGCCGAAAACAAAGCAAAAAGCAAAGCGCATGGCCTCCGAGAGGGCGGGCGCGCGGCGTAAAAACACAGCCCGCGCCTGCCATCGCGGACGCCATACAAAGTGCAACTGCCACCTAGCGTGCTGATGGCGCATCGCCTGCAACTTTGTGAGCCGCCATCCAACACTGCATTTTTGTTGTCTGGTTCATCATAGTGATGTTAGTTGGACACCTGCAGTGCTGGGCGTGTTCATTCAGTACGCTGAACTACACTTCGGCGTCGAACCGTGCGCATACGTCACGGGAGAAAACATGGACAGCTTCGGGCTACATAAAATATTTGTAGCGCATTTCGCAGGCCAAAACAAGCAAAACAGTAGTGAGATTTTTTTGCTGTTATAACTCCCGTGCCTTTTTTCTCTCTCCCCTCAAATTGGCATCAACTTTTCTGAAAAAAAAAAAAAAAAGTGGGTTCAATATGCGAGTAAATACGGTTTATATCCCTATGATTGAGTGCATAGCTTACACTGTCGGGCACGGCCAGCTGCATGTGTGGTGTCCCGTACGTGTGTGTGTGTCGCTCGCAGGGTGAGCAGCGATCTGGTGGGATGTTGCACAGCTGTGCTGTGTACGTGTGCGCAGGACAAAGGAGACGCTGGCCACTGGCAACTTCATGAGCGTCATAAACGTGCTGATGCAGCTCCGCAAAGTGTGCAATCACCCCAACATGTTCGAGCCGAGACCCATCTTGTCGCCCTTTCGCATGGACGGGCTTGTGTATTATACCGCCTCCAGTGTATATGACATCTGTAAATATGACCCATTCAAGGTGAGTCCGCGCTGTGTGCAAAGCTTTCTCTCGGTTTGCTTTCTCTTTTCTTTTTTCGAGACAAGTACTGAATTGTACTTTAACCATTCTTGTCATTTGTGGAAAAGCTGAAAGCAGTGACAGAGTGAATGTAGATCAGTGTGACTCTGCATGCTGGTTGGTTTTTCATACTTGTGGAGGTTGATTGCCTAAAGTGAGTTTCACACTGCATGCTGGTTGGTTTGTCATACTTGTGGAGGTTGATTGCCTAAAGTGAGTTAGAGGGAGAGGACAAAAGAAAGAATGTGTACATGCACAGGCACCGCAAAGCGTTCATGTGGCTGCCGTGTGCAAAATAGGTTGTTCATGAAGTTCAGAGCGAACAAGGCATGGAATACAATAAAGTAGCACGGCAGGGGCACTGTTTCGTGCTTTGTTTGCACTGTCTGTTGCATTTTCTAACTAGTCCCTATTGCTACATTACTTCAAAACTGATTTATTTGTCAGCTTGGTGAAGGAAATCAAGTGATTGTTATCGGTAGCGGTCAGTGTGTTGTGTAAGTCTTTCTTTTGTTGGTCTTTTTTTATTTTGCTCAACTCCCAAAAGTATAAATGAAATGCTCAAACCTCGTTATGACAATGTTGCATATTAGAAGAAAATAAGTTTGTTATATCCATAAATTGGTTATAAAGATTATCCTAACACTGTATCTGATGCAAGACTATTTTTCATTAGCTTCGTGGAAACCGAAATTTTTCATACCCATGTTGGTTATATTAAGGTATGAGTGTAGTTTTGTGTAGTTCAGAATCATCTACCATAAGATGTGGTATGAGTGTAATTTCGTGTCATTCAGAATCATCTACTGTAAGATGCAAACAGATAATCAAGACAAGCAAAATATGGGCAGAGTCATTTGCAGTCTTTAACTGAACTTTTGTGGCTATGAGATCTAGGGGAGTAAATGTAGAAACATTTTTTATCTATCACACCTTTTGATAAACTTTGTGCCAAGAATATATACCAGTCAGTGTAAGGCTTCTTGATGAAAAAGATTTTGAACTGTGAGGCCTACTTAGGGTAAATTGTTTGGTCATAAAAAAGTCTTAGAAACTTAAGAGTCAATGAATCAACAAATGGATTTTTCAGGCCGCGTTTACTCAGAGTACCTGTGTTCCTCTTTGCAGCATGTTAGTTTCTCGGCCCTGAACTTGCTGCTTGCCGATGTGGAGCTGTGTCTGACAGCGTTTGCTGCACACCGCATCAAGAAGTTCCAGACGTCGTGCCACTTTGTTGAAACAATCGAGAGTCACCCGCCCCCGCCACCCAGGTGCCCACCTGGCAAGATCAGGCTGCACATCCGCACCTCGACGCCTTCAGCTCAGGTGCGTCTGCTAGTGTTGGCTTTGTGAACGCGGCACCACCTTCTCTGGTCCAAATGGTAGCATATTTGTGCAGATAAACCCTGATATGTAACTTGTCCGCGGGGCCACATACTCAACCGAGCTTGTTTAGGGGGGGGGGCACTAAGAATGGCTTCAAAGTGCTTCCTTAAAAATTTCGAGGCGATACCACCGAGATGTTTCCCGATTTTCAATAGTTCAGGTTGGCGTACAGCGTTCTCACTGTGCTCGCGCTGTCGTCAGTAATGTGCGCGACAGTCTTTTGCGAGGCAGGAGTCATTGCCACTTTCATGTTAGTCTTTGTGTACATGCATCGCCGTGAAAAAAAAAAAAGTGCAATTCAACACAAGTTTTTTCATTTGCGATTCCGCGCAAACCGCGAGCACGTCGATCTCCAATGAGCTGCGCGCCGCATCCCCCCCCCCCCCCCCCCCACTCTCGGTGAGCACCAAACAGTTTTCAGTTCCCGTACTCATCACATGTTAGCATAAGTTTCGTGGCGATGCCATATTCCCGATATTTCTTTGAAATGCTGCCAGGCCCGCCGCATTCACCGCACTTCATGCACTGAAGCAGTTTATTAATTATCTCTAAGCTTACAACGATGGACGGCGTTCCAGTAGTCGCGGTCCCTTCCGATTCTCGAAAAACAGAACGCTCACGTCGTGTGACTGACGTCGACGAAAGGTCTTTAATGTCACTCGCACGACAATCAAGGGCCACCTTTTCAGCGTCGCAAACCAGGGAAGTGCCGACGCGCAGATCTCGCCGGTGATCGTTGGCTCCGGCTGTCGCGTCCGTGATTGTAAGAGCCGTGTTCGTGATAGGGTTAGCACAGCCAGCTTTTTTCGTGTTTTCAAAGGCAGAGGGTTGCGCTGATAAGATGCTGCATGCTCTCAGACGCCATTTTCGCTTCTTGACGAGTGCATGAGCAGTATGGAACTTTTGATGACCGCCTGCCATCGCATGGATTGCACAACCGTCGCTTAGGCCTCGCCACAAAATGGCAGATGGCGCACCACTGTCTAGCAGACGAATTTTTTGACATTCACTAGGGAACCAATGATGTGTGAGTATATGGTTCTTTTTTACTCGCGATAGCTGCGCTGTTGATAGACGAAAAGCGCACTTCCGCTAGGAATAAACAAAAAACAATACGTCTTTCAAATGAGACGAAAATGGCCGCGCTACTCGGCGAGGTTCTCGGGCGCCACGGAGTCGATCATGACCGTTTTCAAGGTGGTTTCGCGAGTGAAATGGCCACGAAACTGACGATGAGACCGAATTACTCGACAAATGCGCATTACATGGCAATAGCATTTTAGGAACACCTTCTTCAGACCTTATATATTATCAAAAAACATAGTTTAAGAAATCGATTTTTCGGAAATTTTTCGACCTTCGAGACTCGTGTCTCCCCTTAAATGTGCCCTTACAAACGATCAGACTAGGACTATGCAACGCAGCATCATGTGCTTTCTCTTCAGGCAGAAAAACATTGTTAAAAGCATCACAGGGCAAATGCCAGGAAGTTTGATGTTTGGACGAGAAGTGAGAACCCAGCTGACAGCAATTGTCCCAGAACCCCATTGGAAACACTATCGGGAGAAGAAAAGCTCCCGCGTAGCAGGAGATTTGAAATTAGACAATGTGTATACGCATGTTAGTTGAACAACAACAACAAAAAAACCTGGCTTGATTGAAACGACGGCACTCAAATGAATAGGGTTGTGGTCATGGCTTGTCTACATAAGCGGAAAGGCCACTCGGTGCAACCTAATTCAGTTACGTCGTTAGAGAATTTGCCAAGGGAGGCTCCCGTCAAGCAGGCACCCCGACAGAAGCGACGTCACACCTAGCTTGGCATCTTGCACCAGATGAATCGGCGGCCCAATTCAGTGGCTGACAGTGCAGCAAGAGATGCTGCCATCCTGTTGCAGCGCTACTTAGAACACAATGGTGGCACAGAGTTCTTGCCCAGCGTTTTAGCAATGCACTCCTAGCATGTGAGAAAATGTTTGAACAAGGCCAAGCAAATTGTTATCACCTCCTTTTTTCCGAATCAGCAATATTAGAGACACTTTTCTTTCTAATCAACTATAGTAGTATTGCATACTTCAAAATGTTTCTGTTCAGTCAGCCACAGTTGGTGCTTTAGAAATAAAGTCATATTTCATTCATTTTTTGGGCTTTGCTTAAATGAAACTTCTCATAAGTGGAACAACTTTTAACTTCTCTTGCCCCTTCGAGTTCCGTTTAAGGGTAGTCCGTTGTAACAAGTTTCACAGTAGGGCAGGAGGTGGCACTACTTTTTCTGTGATGTGTTCACACGACAATGCGGCTGCATGTATGAAAGAGGAACCTTTTTTCTCTGCTTTTCATGGGATCATCCCAGGGTGCGTTTTTGTCTGGCTACTGCATCCCGGTTCCTGAGACTTCTCCCGATCTCGATTTATGTCTGGGTGTGTGGCAGGAGCAAACATTATTCACTCTGTATCCTTGACTCACTCAGAACTTCGACTCGTTCCATCGACATGGTGCATGTATTGTGTGATTAACCTGCAATTTGTCAGTAAGACATGATTACTTGCTGGCCGAACCTATATGTCTTTCGGTATCGGTATCTGTAATGGATCGACATTTCCATTGCTATGTGGAAAGTGACGTGTTGCAAATGAAAAAGTGAGTCACAGTTAGAGCGTACATGAGAAAGCATTTTCTGGCAATGTATTGCTAGCTATTACTAGCAACCCTAGACTAGTGCAATGTAAATGTTACCTGAGTAGGCCAAGGTGTCCAAGTCAGTTTATTCTCTGCTTGGTCTTTGCAGTCTGGAGCAGCCCGGGCAGCAGCATCGCCTATGACGGGGGCCGGCCATCAAGGACCTCACCACCAGAGGCTGGTGGCCGCCTCTGGGGCCCACCACAACACCGCCGGTATGGTGGTGCGGCCGGGCCACCAGGGAGTGCCGGCTGGTGGCACCACCTTCACCATGGCTCGTCACGGGGCCGTGCTCACCCAGGCTCACCACCATCCTAGTGGCCTGCTGCAGCAGCCGCAGCAGCAGCAGCAGCAGCAGCGCTTGGTGGTTGTCTCCACGCCGGGCACCGTGACACCGCGTGCACACAGCCCAGTGGTGGCTGCTGCCCCTTCCTCTGCTGGCGGAGGAGGGAGCGGCGAGTACATGCTGCAGTTGGTGCAGAAGTCCAATGCCTGTGAGTTTTATCCACTTGTTTGTCCTTTGCTGCATTCACCTTCTCGAGGAACAGTAACTTCAGATGCAAGGGGACGTTTTCAGTGGCTCGTTTTTTCTCTGATAAACATTGTTAATCAGAACAAGCTGAGCAATGTATAGGAGATGTAGCTCACTTGGTGGAGCATCGGATGTGTCATACAAGTAAACCTGTGTATAACGATATTGACAGATTCTTCGAAAAGCTTTTTATAAAGAAGATTTCATTGTATGCAAATTCAGTACGAAAATTTAAAAAATAAGCGCACAAATTAGAAACAAATGGGGAACTGAAAAGGGAGCTAACCCAGAACACTTATTTAGCTGCAAAAAGTTCGTTAATATTGTGATAGAAATTATATGTGTACTATCGGTGGTTTTTTTGGAGTCACCGCCATGTTCAGTAACAAATCCAAATTGATCTCATGCCCCCCATGCATCGTAACTTTTACGAGCGGGTAAAAGCGCGAGCGCTGTTAAAGCAGAGATCAAATGAGCCGGCCCGTTTCTATCCCCCTTCCGCATGTTAGAACTGCCGACAAATGCTCAAACAAAAATGAAACCACCTGCCTTGAACGAGCATGAAAAAATGTGAAGCGAGGAGGGGGGGGGGTCACTTGTTTAGCAATGGTGAACTTTGATTTTAAGGGGGGACACTACTTGAAAGGAAATGCCAGATATTTTCATCCATTTAAAAAGAAAATTAGCAGTGTGATTGAGTTTTTAATGCTGATTTCAAAAATTTAATTAATTTTCCCCTAAGCTATTTAGTTTCTGAGATGTCATACCGGCTAACAATAGGTACACAAGAAATTTGTATTGGAGAGCCACTATTGGCACATGCCTGAATACTGATGAACATAAGCCACCCAATCGTCAGGATGTTTTTTTTGATCTGATGATTTTTAGCAAGGTTTTTAGCACTTCGTATATCAATGTTGCAGACACACTCGCTTTATGCTGCATTTCCTGGCAAAATTCGAAAATGTCATTCGAAAATTCACACCTACCGTAAAAATCGGAATATAGGTAGACTCCTTTAAGGGGGGGCGCGGCAAGTAAAGTGCCGATTTTGGTCAAAATATGCGATTTTCTGATTTATTTTTTTTCGTAATCTTCAGACCTTCAACTTCCTTGTTCTAAAATATTACAGCGAAACGTGCGCTACAAATCCCGCAAATAGTGTTTTTGCCGAGGCTAGTCGCCGAAAAGTGCGAAAAAAAAGCCCCTGAAACGGTGTTGTTCACGCCGCACAAACGCGCTAAGTTGTTGACTGTGGGCCGCCATTTTGGTAGCTTTGGAAAGAGGAGAAAGCCGGCTTCCCGATGGTCGCGGTCTCGTATTTCGCCGAGTGAAAATAAAAGCGCGAGGAGCAAGTAAAAAAAACAAAAACGAAGAACGGCAATTGGCTGCGCGGGTCACGTGGTAGCAGGCGCGACCTCTTACTGGTCAAAGCTGCGCCGCGCACCTTGGCAACCTTGGAAGCGCGAGCGCATCTGCGGCCGCCGCTTTTTTTTTACCAAGCTTTGTTTACATCGGTGGTCTCTTCTGAGTGCTTGCTCATACTGCGGTGCTATGTTGTCGCAAAAAAAGTTCCGGAGCGTCCACAAGTACGGCAAGCGTCGGAAAGCTTGGAACAAAGGGCAGACGACTGCGGCTGCCGTCCCAGTCGCAGTTCCGGACGGAGCATGCTCTTCAAGCGTCACGGAGCCTCTACTCAGACCCTTCGCTGATTGTTGTGAGGCCGAGAGTGTGGAAGGTGCCACATCGTCGTATGTCAGACCGCCGGATGCCGTCGACCGTGATGGACGCTCTCGCGAACCCGATTGCGGTGGCACCGCGTCGGCAGCCGTTGCAACTCCGGGCGTGCGCGCGTCGAACATTCTATCGCGAGTTTCGGCCCAGATTCCGAGCAGTGAAGAAATCGCGCAGCGGGCGCAGACAAGGCGGGATGTTTTGGATGCCGTAGCATTGAAGTCCGCTTCAAAGCGGAAGCTCGAGCTTCTGAACGAAGGCTGCGACGAAAATGACGGCGGTAAGGACTCCACATTCTTCATTGTAAATAAGAAGATGCTGAACGGTCTGCTTTCGTCAGTAAAGTGCAACAAGTGCGACGAAGGGTCGATACGCCTCGAGACTACGCACTGCCTTGGACTCGCGGCGAGGATGGGACTTTTTTGTGACAATTGTGGCATAGTGAACAGTGCGTGGTCGTCCCCGAGGTGCTCCGGGCAACAAAAAACGAACCCCTTTGAGGTAAACGTGCGTGCTTTGAGGGCTGTGCAGTCAGTTGGCAGAAAACAATCTGCCATAAATGACATTTTTTCTGCGATGGACATTTCGCATCGAGCACTGCACCACAAGTCCTACCAGAGACTGCAAAGGAAGTACAGCCACCCTGCCACCACATCAGCTGCCACCCGCATTGAAGCAGAAAGTGCACAGAAGGTGCATGACATTTACAAGGACCTAGGAGGAGTGCCAGGCAACATTGACGTCATTTACGACGGCACGTGGATGACGAGGGGGCACAGAAGTCATATTGGCGTGGGCTGTGTAATCGAGCTGTACACAGGCTTGGTCTTGGACCACTGTGTCCTGTCCAACTACTGCCAACGCTGTGCTGTTGGCCCCAAGCCAGGTGACGACAACTATGAGGAGTGGCTTGAGAAACACAAGCCACAGTGCCAAAAGAACACCGATGCTAATGCAGGCCAAATGGAAGTAGAAGCAGCTAGGATCATGTTTGAAAGATCGTTTACCAAGTACAAGCTTCGATACATCAATGTGCTCTGCGACGGTGACAGCCGTACGTACCTTGCCCTCACGCAAGACAAGGTGTATGGCTACATGGTGATTAAGAAACAGGAGTGTGTGAACCATGTGAAAAAAAGAATGGGCACTTCCTTGCGCAACCTTCTTGATGAGCACAAATCCAAAGGCCGAGGACTGAGCATGGGTGGCAAAGGCCGGCTGACGCAGGGCCTGATAAAGAAGTTGACGAATTATTATGGCTGGGCCATTAAGAGCCACCCCAATGATGTTCCTGGCATGGAGAGGGCCATCATGGCCACTTATTACCATGTAACATCCACAGACCAGGATCCACACCACGACCTGTGCCCAAGTGGGACTGACTCCTGGTGCCCGCACAATCAGGCATTGGCCAAGGGAGAGCCGCTGCCGCCTCACAAACATAAACTGCCCCCTCACGTGCAAGTGGCACTGCTGCCAATCTACAAGCGCCTCTCGAACAAAGAGCTCCTTGAAAGGTGTGCGCAGGGAAAAACCCAGAACGCTGTGGAGAGTATGAACAGCCTCATTTGGTCACTCCAGTCCAAGAGCCAGTTCGCGTCCCTTCGAAGTGTGGAAAGTGCAGTTGCAGATGCAGTCTGCCGTTTCAATGGTGGCTGCAAGAGTGCGCTGCAAGAGATCACTGCTCAACTGGGCTTCAATCCAGGAGACTGCTCTTTGCGGCGAGCAGCCGAAAAGGATGCCAAAAGGGTAAAGAGGGCTCAAAAGGCGCATTGTTCCACGACAAAGAAGCGCAAAACTGGGTTGCGCTCTACAGAGGCCAAGGCCACAGCATCTCAGGATTACTGCCCAGGAAGATTCTGAGTGTTTTAGGCATGTTGTGAACTTCCAAACAAGAGTGAACTTTCAAAGTCAGTTTTCTCAACTCTTGATTTTCGCCTATGTGCCTTCGCTAGAACATCTGTCATTTTCTAACAAAGACTGATAGAGTCGTTCCGTTTTTTGCACTAGGCTCAGGAGGCCTTTAGCAGTGCAATAAAGCTTTATCTCTCTTCTTACTCATCATTTAAAATTTTTAGAACACATTTTATAATTACTGCGATGTGTGCACAAAACAACATCCATGTTTTGGAAATTTTATTTATGGTTACAAGAACTAGAAAAATCAACTAATAGCTTCTTTGCACAAGTTGATGCTTTGGGAACATAATAATATGAAAAAATAATTTCATTTAGCAATAATTATCTCTTTAAGTGTGAAGAGCATTAATTAGTATAATTATGCTTGTAACTCAAAAAGTACAAAAGGTATTTGAAAACGGTTTTCATATTTGGAATCCTCACAATCATCCACATACACACACCAAATTTCATCACAAACAGTACATTAATAAAAAAATTAGTTTTACTTGCCACGTCCCCCCTTAAGGCAGACTGGTCTTAGACATTTTTTTGTTTATTTCTTTAGTGATCTTGCAACTGCACGGGATTATGCAGTTTTTTCTGCTGATTTCAAATATTTAATTAGTTTTTCTATAACTCATCTTGTTCCTGAGATAACTTAAGTTCACACCCTATTGTTTAAGGCCGCCGTAGAAAAAAAGTGCTTAATTAAAGGTATGCCGACATAGACAAGTTAGTATAGATTGAAACTATGGAAGAGTTTTTGTTTTTAGCCTTTTCTTGGTTAGACAAGCGAGTATAGATTGAAACTATGGAAGAGTTTTTGTTTTTAGCCTTTTCTTGGTTATTTTACAGCAAAATGAACTATCCATTTTCAATAGCAGTTGGAATTGTGTTACAATTTTGATGAGTAATGAATTAAAAGGGCTTGTGCTCTAAATTCTGCTTCCATACTTGCATTCTACACGCGTACAGGTTTTCATTGCAAAAATAAATATTGTTGTAGCTGCCCTAGCTGCATAGATATTGAGGCCTCAAAATTGAACAGTTGTTTTGAGCGAAAAGGAAAAAACTGAAAAGACGCAGCTTCTTTAAAAAGTAACAATCATGGTGCACACGTTTTGCAATCCTCATAAAGGTGCTCATAAAGTCGTAGCAGAGCTTTTAACACAAGTGCTGGCAAATTATAAAGAGGCCTCGAAGTCGGTTCCGGTTTTGCATGTTAACAGTACCATGAATCTGGACAGTTAGAATGACATTACAAGAAAATTACCACTTCCTGGTGTTTGAAAATTTGCAGACTGATAGAAAAATACTTGCAGAAACCAAATATGTCAATTTTAAAAAATGAATTTCTTGTCACTTTTTAGTCCCTAAGACCAGTCTGCCCCCTTAAATTTTGAATCTCCGAAAGAGAAACCTTTAAAAATCGCAAAGTATCGCGTCGCACCCAAAGCCTATCGTAAACTGCCATCGACTACCGCTCATTTCAAATGGAAAAAATGAAACAGCAGACTCGCACAGCAAATAACTGAGGCAAAATGGCCTTAACAGAACACTGTAGGCCTTGCCTAGCCTTGCCCAACGGCGCCGCTGCTGATGCTCACGATGATAATTGAGGCTTTCGACTTCAGCTGCTCATTGTCACAAGACTTCCACGTTTTTTTCTGCCAATGACCGGTATATGTTTGTTATCCACCACAATTAATTCTTCTAATGATCAGCAAATTCTAAACGATAGCCTTGACGCAATAAATAATTGTTGCGACCTTTGGGACATGAAACTAAATACTGAGAAAACCGTATTTATGCGTATTACTAACAAAAAGCAACCATATGAACATCAGTACACAATCAATGGTCTTCCTATCTCGCGAGCTGATAGCTTTAAATATCTTGGCGTTACAATTACTAGTAATCTAACATGGTCCTCCCACATTCTTAAAGTATGCGCCTCAGCATGATGAAAACTAGGCTTACTAAGACATAAACTGAAAAATTCGCCTGCGAACATAAAGCTTCTTGCGTATAACTCAATAGTACGACCATGCCTTGAATACGCATGCATAGTCTGGGATCCACATACTACAAAAGACATTGACAATCTCGAAAAAATCCAAAGATTAGCCGTCCGCTTCATTTACAACCGATACCGCCGTTATGACTCCATGACAGAACTAATGCAGATGAATAAAATCCCTACTTTGGAATCTCGACGCAAAATGAATAGGCTAAAATTTCTTTTCCAATTATTACACGGGAATATCAGACTCGAAACATCGGCCTTCCTGACTCCGTTATCATCGCGTCCCACCAGGAATTACCATTCTGCAAAGTTCTCGCCTATCACAGCGCGCACTAACAATTTTAAGTTTTTTTTTTTTCCCCGCACTATAACCGACTGGAATAACCTCCCGCATGAAATTCTTTCATCTGACAATGTGCTGAAATCTATTGATCAAATGTTTGACTTGTAAAATTTTGTATTAATATTTTACAGTGTTTTCAAAATATTTTGTATTGTCCTGTTTATTGTTTTTACCTCGCCAAAGATTGTACAATTGTTCTAACGGCTCTGTAACACCCCCACTCCTGCTTGGGCCCATTTGTGGCCTGCAGTATTGTATAAATAAATAAATAAGTAAATAAATAAATAAATAAACAAACAAACAAACAAACAAACAAACAAATAAATAAATAAATAAATAAATAAATAAATAAATAGATAAATAAAAGATGAGGGTCGACTTTTCATTGCATTTTTTTTTTTTTTCGACCTATATTCCGTTTTTTGTAAAATTGTGTACGCTAAAGATAGAGCTACATGTCACAATAAAAATGGCAGTCCTAGCTGCTCGGGAGGCTGATATATCCTTTAGGCAAATTTGCAAATGCAGCAATAACTGAATCCCAAAAAATGATGCAAGAACGCAAGTCTATTTTGGGCTAACATTAGCATGGAACATTAGCATTAGTCATCTCTTTACGGTAATTTACACGTTCAGCATTCTCTGTAGGCACCAGGCATGTAGTTCTGCTTTGAGTCACTTTAATGTCGTTTTTCAATGCCCGCTCAGTGAAACCATGCATGCGCGCATGGCTTCGTAACCAAGGGCAAACGACACGGATACCGTGGAAAACTATCTGGTAAAGCGCTCTCCGTGTGCAGCGCTGCCCGACATACATGATGCTAATTAAAGGCGTGGCACTGCCAATGCAAAAGTGGCCCTCTTTTCTTATTTTCATTAGGAGGGAGGGAGAGGGCATGTTCACACAGCTGCGTCGTCGGCTGGGCAAACGGGAAAGATGCATGCTCATGCCAAAATGACCAAATCCGGGGCAAAATTGCTAGATTGTCTGTGGCGAAAATTCTTTATATAAAGGACGTCTCCTGCTATTACTTTGTTACATAGAGTTCCCAAATACATTTGCTTCTAAGGAGTAACATCGGGAAATAGAAAAACTTCGTTATATCGCAGAATTTGTTGGATGGAGTTCGTTACAAGCAGATTTAACTGTGCTAAGGTAGTAAGTTTGGTTCCTGCAGGCAGCAAGTTGCCTTTTAGTCCACTTTAATGAAGTCCAAAATATTTTTGAAGTCCGAAAAACATTTGAAATTCTCAAATATTCGCATACCGCAGAGAATATTCCATCTCATTTGTTGCTTGCAGTGGCTGGTGGCGGCCAGTCTGTGATGGGTTCGCCCATCACGTTGCAGATCCAGCAGCCGGCCCACGGGACTGGTCCAGCACGGGTGGCCGTGCCATTTGGCATTGGTCGCATCGTTCAGACCACGACCGGTCAGCACTTGCTGCTTACCCCTGCCCAGCAGACGCCGCAGACCATGGCTGACGGCACTGGGGTTCTGCAGCAGCAACAGCACCAGACGGTCATGCTGGCTACGTCTGCCGGCCAGGCTGTGGTCAGGACCACGACCGGTGAGGTTCACTTTATATACAGTCGCCGACCGTTTATTCGGACGCCGAAAATTCGGACATGCCCGTTTATTCGGACATCTTCGTGGCACCGCCACTCGCCCCATTGAACCTAATGTAAACTCACGACCGAAAATTCGGACGCCCCGCTGTGCGCCGTTCGATTATTCGGACTCCGTTTGACTGACCGGATGCGTCGCCGTACGCCATGACACGCTGACAGGGACGTTAACAATACGTTTGCTAGGTTGCCAGCACTGATATGCTGCACTAGCTATGAATGGACGTCGGGCCAGTGTCAAAATGCACGCAGAAATCGCCATTGCCGATCTCGAAGGCTATGTTTGGCGACACGTTTTTTTCGGTTTTAGCCAGTCGAGCGGCCAAGCCAAGCCACTTACGGAGTCTGTTCGCTGTGGCGTTTGGCGTGGTTTGGCGTTTGTGTCAGCGTGTCAGTGGTGTCAGTCAGTTGCTTCTGCGGGTAGGCCTGGTTCGTCTTGTTCTCTGTGTTCTCGCTCTCTTGTGTGTTCCGTGGCGTGCTGAAATGGCTCCGACGCCACCCGTTGCTGCGCCGTCGGGAGTGAAGAAACGCGGCCAACGTGGGAGCTACAAGACGCTCACGATGGCGAAGAAAGCGGAGATAATTCGCCAGGTAGAAGGCGGCCGACCTCAGTCTGAAGTTGCTCGGGAATTTTCCATTTCCAAGCAAACCGTCTCGGACTACCTCAAGCAGAAGGCTAAGATCCTGGAGGCAGCTGAGAAAGCGTCTGCGGGTACGCAGAAAAATTTCCGGGACGGCAGCCACCCGCAGCTTGAAGAAGCGCTGAACATGTGGTTGAGTGCCACGGTGGCTAGGAAAATACCCGTGTCTGGCGATCTGCTGAGACAGAAAGCAGAGACGCTCGCCCTGCGCATGGGTATTACCGGCTGCAAGTTCAGTGACGGGTGGTTGCGCAACTTTAAGAAAAGGTACGACCTGGCCTTCAAGCGAATGTGCGGCGAGAGTGGTTCCGTCGACCAAACGCTCGTGACCAACTACCGCGCCGACAAGCTGTGCGCACTGCTGCGCCAGTATCCACCAGAAAACGTCTTTAATTGTGACGAGACTGGACTTTTCTATAAGATGCTGCCCAACAAGACGCTAGCTTTGTCTGGCGAACCCTGTCATGGGGGGAAGCATAGCAAGGAGCGACTGACAGTTGTTGTAGGAGGCAACATGACGGGGACGGAGAAACTTCCGCTCCTCGTGATAGGGAAATAAAAAAATCCAAGATGTTTTAAAGGCGTCAAATCACTCCCTGTGTGGTATGAAGCAAATTCGAAGGCGTGGATTACGCAAAAACTCTTCGAACAGTACCTTCGCAAGCTCGACCGCCGGTACGAACAGCAAAATCGCAAGGTGCTGATGTTCGTCGACAACTGCGGTGCCCATGGGCATATCGACAACTTGAAGGCTATGACAGTGGAGTTTTTGCCGCCTAACACGACAAGCGTGTTGCAGCCCATGGACCAGGGCGTGATCAAAAACTTGAAAGTTCATTACCGGTCGCGCCTCCTGAATCGTGTGCTGTTATGCGTCGACAGTAACAAAAACTACGTCGTGGATGTTCTGACGGCCATCAGCATGTTGTCCGATGCCTGGAAGTCAGTGACTCAGGAAACGATCCACAACTGCTTCCGCCACGCAGGATTTATTACTGGGATTGAGGAGGACAGTGCCACAGGCCAGAACCCCGCGGTTGAGAGTCCGCCTACCGCAGCAGCGGACATTTTGGACGACCTTCGTGCTAGCGGGGTCGATGTGGGGGCGGGTACGTTTGAAGAGTTCACCAACTTCGACAGTGCCGTTTTGCCTTGCGCAGAGTTGGACGATGACGAGATCGTCCGTCAGGTCTGCGAGCCGGCGCTGGCGGACAGTGACTCCGACGATGACGTGCCGCCCGCACCACAGCCATCAAATGCGGACTTAGCGCAGGCCATATCGATGCTGTTGTCTGTCTACAGCGACGGCCAGACACTCGCAGAGGTACAGGCCGACGTGGTCGCGCGTAAGCGTGCGTGTGTGCAGACGCGCATAGACAGTTTTTTCGGGCGATCGGGCCAATAAAAGTGCTTTTTTTCGAGTGAATCCGTTTTTTCGGACTCCCGATTATTCGGACTTTTCGGCGGTTCCCGTCGAGTCCGAATAAACGGTCGGCGACTGTAGTTGTGAAATCACAGACTGGTTCTTTGCACTGCATACCCAAGATAGTGGCAACTGGGACTTAGAATAGTGGAACCCCGCTACAACGAAACTGACGGGGTGCGAAAAAATTCTGTTGAAGCGAAAGTTTCGTTGTTGTGAAGTCGAAAAAATATAGCTGATCTGAGCTAGCAAAACAGAAGAACGAAGATAATGAATTTTAGGTTCGAAACGAATTCGAAGCGAATTCGAAGCAACTAGTGATTTTGGTCTAATAATTTTGAAAAGAATTAGAATAGTATATATGACAAAGAAAAATGGACATATTTATCATGACCTAGCTAACCAGCACAACATATATTTTTATATTTAAATAAGGCCTCTATGCAAGTGCCATTTTTTTTCGTTCAAAGGAAGTCGAAACAACTTAGAGTAGTAGAGGGATATGAGTTTCGGTAGGATGCGAGTGATTTTCGAGCTCATGGTGTCATTTGCCGAGAGAAGAGAGCAACTTTCAGCTGGTTTTGAGAATTTACTGTTAATCGCAAATCGCGTGCTGCGCTATATATTTGGCTCGCGTGTTCTCGGAAGCCTTGACTATCGATCGGGAGCGTTTTCTGACTGTGCTCAAAAAGAGTTGCAGGGCCCCTTTAAATTTGCAGTGGGGCTTCGCGGCGAAGCAGATTTCTCCTGGATGGGTGCTTTCAAGGCTTAGCATTCCCACACTGCAGCAAAACCACCTTTACAAGCTGTTACATGCGGATTAACATACATCTATTGGTTCACTGCGAATACTTCGAAATTTTCAATAATTTAAATTTGAATTGAAGCGAATACTCTACCATTCATTTGGATATTCGAATATTCGCACAAGCCTACTTTTTATTGCTACCAAAAAAACATCAAATAAGTTTGCCACATCACTTCATTTTGGACAGTTAATCAATACGGGGCGTAGTCACGCTTAAAGAAAAATGCAGGTGAGGATTTTGCGGATCATAGAAATGGCTTTGCGGACCTCCATTTGAGAACCACTGCCTTATGCGATAGAATTTTTAAAAATACCCGTAATATGAGGGTGGCGTGGTGGGCTAGTTAATACAGTATTGCATCTTGGAAACGTTACAGCGCACACAGATGGGTACAAAAGATGAAATGTGCACAGTGCCGTGTCTTGCATTTTTTTCCCGTTGCCCCTATCTGTGTGCACACTAACGTGTCCTAGGTGCATGGGGAGAAGCGGCACTTGAAAAAGCTTTTTTGTTCATTGACCTAGAGTAATGAAATTTAGCAGGGACACTGAAGAGTGTCTCAAATAGCTACATATGAAGTTTTGTTGCAATATCTCGAGTAGTTTTCAATTACACTATGTTACGTAATCTGAGGACATATCCTGCTGGTGAAAAGCCTAGCATCGTAACAAAACATGCCAGGAAGGTCTAAATAGTTTTGATCTTTACTCAAGAATAAACACTATGCAAGATGGCGTTATCTAAAATTGCCTATTCATTTTAGTTTTCTTACAAATAACATCCCCATGAGCTTCATGTATTGCATGAGAACTTCTCAGTGCACTAGTTATCACATACAAAAACAAAACAATAGACCCTAAACAAGGTAAAAAGAATGACATCCTGTCAACAAGTCTCAAGAATAAAAAAAAACAAAGCAGCATCAAAATCGGTCCGAGGCACTGTCATGCTACGCTTTTCACAAGCAACACTAAGTGCCGAAAACACACTTTAGAGAAAATGGCTTTCAAAGTTTCACCTTTATCAAAATGCATGAATTTTTTTTTTTTTTTTGAAGCTCTGGATGAATCTTACAGGCCATGTTCCCTACACTACAACTAGAGCAACTGCAAGGTTTTATAAAGCTGAGTTTCTTACTGCCAGAGTTGTTGAGGTTTAACTGGGAGCCCAAGGAAGAGTCGTGAGAAATCCCAAGACATAGTAGATAGCTGAAATTCGTTGTAGTCATTTTTTGATAGATATTCCAGGGTGTTACAAAGCAGTCTTTTTTTAAATTACTGATGAGCAGTCTTTGAGTTTTAGCTTTCTTCATTACCACAACTAGCGAAGGAATCTATTCTAAGAAAACGGGCCCAGAAAGTTTAATACTTGTGTTTTCATCTAAAAACTTCAGCAGAATAGCTAGAAGTGTTTTTACCTGCTTTTTTCTCCTCTCACCTTGTCTACATTTTTTTTGGTTTAGTTTGTAATTTAGTTTTAGGTGCGAAGCATCGAAATACCGGGTTCAGTGATCTCGGAAACACACTGCGTCGCGCTTGATAGCACTGCTTCAGAGCACATACAGAGTTTGACGGTCTCGAAAACACTCGGTGCTTTTGTGGCTCCATCCACACTCGATGTGTCAGATTCCTGACTTGGTCTCTGCATTCGGCACCCCTGTTTATCTCTTAGTAAATGGAACTCTTGTTAAATGGGTCACATTTTTCCGGTTCCGGACACATTTTCCCGGAAAGAGAAAAAAAAATATCAAAGGAACTTTCTTATATACTGTGCTTGTGGCACCTGTGCGAGGGTGGGTGGGCGCTTCAGTGGCCAGCAGTGTCGAGTTGTATGCTTTACACGTTACTGCTTTGTTCTACTCTGATCGCAGCACTGAGCCAGATGGGACGAGTGGTGACCAGTGCTGCGGGCAGTCCTGCTGTAACTCCGGTCCCGACTTCCGTTGGTGCCAAGCCAGTCCTGCGTGTCGCACCCCTAATTGCAAACAGTCAGACGACGCACGTGGGAGCGACCAAAACTGGTGGGTTATGCATGGGAATCTGTGTTGCAGTGGTAGAACAATGTGCCCTGCTCGAGCATAGGTGTTGCGTATGCTGTGACAGGGCATTGCCTGCCTTTCTGTGTGTAAATTACTAACGAAGATTATTAGCGAAAGCCATATTTTGCAAGGGCAAAGCTCGGTTCTCTTTACCAGTACGACTGTTCAATGGAGGAACAGATCAGGTCGAACCTGAGAAATGCTTGATTACAACTAAACTTGCATTTTATGTGACAGGTGTTTGCTTTGTCCTAATAAAATTGAAATCCATTAGAGCTGCAGCTGATCCTCCCTGTTCCTCTTCGTTCTTGTTTAGGTAGAAGTATGATGGGACGCTCTTGATGTGCTTGACTCTTGTGTGTGATGTGCCCTTTAAAAAATGCATGTCTCCTCTTTTACAGTAAATGCCAAGACGACGGTGGTTGCTCCCGTGAAGTCTTCTGGTGCTACATCGACAACTGAGTCTTCCAGCCAAAGAAGCCCATATTACCTGGCAAGTTCTTCAGAGGAAAATATTGATCCAGCACAGCTGAAACCCTCTATAAGAGGCACTGATGTAACATCTAAGAAACACCATTGTGTCTTTATCGATATATAGGAGGATCAAAAAGTGAGAATGTTGTAGCCTGCTTATCAGAGATGCGTGCAGGAAAACTGAAGCATCGTTGGTACGTTCCTGTTTCGTACATTTAAGTGGGGACGCGGCTTTTGAATTGCAAAAAATGGCCGGAAAAAGCGATTTATTGAAAATCTGATTTTCAATTTCCGTAACCTGTTATCTCTCAGATTCCAAAATATTATTCTGAAAAACCGCGTAGAAGTGCTTAAAAAATTTGTCACCTAATGCGCTGCATAAAATCGTGGAAGTCGTGGGAAAAAAGCGTGATTTTCAAGGCACGGTAACATGGCAACGGCGCTACCGAGAGCCGCCATCTTTGTCTCGTCTGAGAGAGCGTTCCTCCGGCTTCAATTTTCTCGCGTCAGCCACCGCCTGCAGGCGAAAAGAAACGCCTAAAAGCAAAGTCCCGAAGGTCCCACGCTGAAGCCTGACTGGCTGCGCGCGCCACGTGACACAAACGCGAGAGCATCATTGGTCTCCTGAACAGTTTTCCTTGGCAACGGCTCAAATTCTCCTCTCACATGCGCGCGCCTCCCGCTGTTTACTTTTTGCGCCATCAAGCACGCCATTGAAGCGCTGAGCAAATATTTCGGTCGTGGGCGACACGGTTTTGCCGTAGATTCTTGTCAGCGATTATGAATCGGCCACGGTGTAAGAGAAAATACCGAACATTTCATCAATTTGGAAGTCATAAGCGCAAATATCCGAACGTGAAAAAAAAAAGAAACATCGACAGCTTCCAGTGCTGCTTCTGCTGCTCAACGTGTTGCTCACACGCTGCCGTTTGCTCTGTACTCCTCGGTCGACGACTTCTCGGACCCATGGTCGCGATCGTCGTCAGCTGACGACTTCTCGGACCCGCTGCCGCGGTTGTCGCTCGACGACTTCTTGGGCCCGCTGCCGCGATCGTGGCTTGACGACTTCTCAGACCCGCTGCCGTGCTCGTCGCTCGACGACTTCTCCGACCCGCGGTCGTGCTCCTCGCTCGACGACTTCTCAGTCCTGCTGCCATGATCTTCGGTCGATGACTTCTCGGACCCGCGGCCGTGCTTGTCGCTCAACGACTTCTCGGACCGAGGGCCGCGATCGTCTGTCGACGACTTCTCGGATCCGCGCCCGTGCTCATCGCTCGACGACTTCTTGGACACGTGGCCATGCTCGCGTGTCCATGCTTGTCGGTCAACGACTTTCCGGATCAGCGGGCGCGCATAGATGAACTGCCATCAGTAACTGCCAGTACAATTCAAGCTCGCTTGGAGCCTCTTTACATATCGTCACAAGCCTCTCGTGAGCGCGCAGAGGCAGTGAAAGCCTCGCTCAAATCGTTTCGGCAACTGAGTGAAAAATGAAGCTTTTGGGGAGAATGAGCAATGCACTGATGTGTAACTGGCAGAAAAGTTTTTTGCTTGCACAGCTAGCAGCAGTAAATGCCTTATATAAAGATGTTTTGTGCCCAAAATGCTTTCAGTGTAAACTCAGTCTTCATTTGGGGACAAGGCATGGTTTGGCAGCACCAATGATATTGAACTGCAATAGCTGTGGCATTGTGCCCACCGAGTGGTGATCATCAAGAATGGAGGGGGGCAAGGATTTTGATGTGAATATGCGTGCTATGCAAGCCATCAAGACCACTGGCAAAGGCACAACTGGTCTAAATGACTTCTGGTCTATAATGAACGTGACGCATAAGGGCCTACACTACAAAACTTTTCAAAAACATTTGAAATCAAAGTTCAAATCTGCCTGTGAAATGGCTGCAGCGAATGTTTTTGCAGATTCTGGGACAACTGTGCACTCTGTTTACAGCCAAATGAAGCAGACATTTAGAAAAAATGTCACAGTAGTGTATGATGGGACATGGATGACACGTGGTCGTGCATCTCAAATCGGTGTAGGCACAGTTATCGAGTTCTACACTGGTTTGGTGCTTGACTGTGTTCTCTCCAACAGATGCCATGGCTGCATACTTGGGCCAAAAGAAAATGAGGGCTATAAGGATTGGAAAGAGGCCCATGTTTGTCAAAAAAAACACCCAACATAAATTCAGGCCAAATGGAGGTCGAGGCTGCACTAATTTTGTTCAGAAAGTCGCTGGAGAAGAACGACCTCCGGTACACATCCATTGTTTGGGATGACAATCGTACTTTCTTGGCTCTTTCTGAAGAAAGAACATACAGCTTCATTCCATTGGCAAAAGAAGATTGCATAAATCATGTAAAAAAAGGATGGTTTCAGCTCTGCGAACACTTGTAGCCAGAAGTAAGAAAAATCAACCCATTGAGGAAAGGGCGGCCTGACTCAAGAACTGAATTAAGGGGAGACTCTGGTCTGAAATTTTTTTTTTAATTTTCAGTATTTGCAGCTGAAATTGTAATACATCATGTATTTTTCACAGCTGAAAACAAATATGCAATTAGTTTTTTGCTATCACTTTTAGATTTTTAAATATTGACTGTTACATAAACTTGCATTCTGCCCAGCCTTTTGACATCTTCCTCATAAAATATTGCTACAATTTTGATATGGCAGCATTCCACGAAGGCCAGGAAGTGCAACAAAACCATAATTTTATTTTTAGCTTCATTGGTACCAGAGTTATGGCCTTAACAAGTATACTCATTAGAAATCTGAAACTGTTGCTTAAGTTTGTTGCTAATTAAATCACTATTGTAAATAAAAATATTACGTTTTTTTTTGTTTTCTTGCACTAATCATTGTATAAGCTTTCAAATGCTGCAAGAATTATCAAAATCCGACTGCTACATCAAAAGATACTGTGGGCAATGGCTTAGGGTGTGATGAAAAATGTTGTTTTGAGAAAACGAGAAAAGAAGTTTAGGAACATGCTGAGCACTTATATTTAACAAGAAAAGGTGTGAATCGGTGTATTAACCATGTTAGAAGCCACCAGGAATGTAGTCATCATCATTCTCCTTGGTGCGCTTTCTTTTCATGGCATGCTTGAAGTTTTCAGCATGCTCATGCTTCTTCTCCGATGCCACTAGTCGGCGACTGTCCTTTTCTGAGCATCTTTCAGCGGCCACAACACTCTGCTGCAGATGCAGCTCCTTCAATATGGCGGCGTTGAACCTTGCGACAGCTTCGGCCACAGCAGCTTCAACGGTGAAAAGCGACGCGTGTTTGTTTTTGGACACGAGCGACCAGATGACGGAGTGCAGGCTCTCGTTTGGGTTCTGTGTTTTGCCTCGCTGACAACGCTCCAGCAATTTCTTGTCAGAGAGGCGCGTGTAAATAGGCCGCAAGGCATCAACCACATACTCCAGCAGGTTGTAGCGATGATTCGGAGGAGTCTCCTGCTGGGCAACAGCCTTGTTGTACTTGCACCATGACTCTTCACCAGTTGGGCAGTGAGAGTGCTGAGGGCTTGCATCAGTAGATGCTACGTGATAAAAGGTTGCCCAGACAGCATTATTCATGGCCTCAATGCTTCCTTGGTTGTAATGCTTCCTTGGTTGCTTCCTTGGTTGCTTCCTTTGTAAAGCCCATCCATAATATGGCGTGAGCTTTGTGACCAGCTCGCCTGTCAGTTTGCCCTTGCCGCCAAGGCTTGGCTTTCCTTCGGCTCATTGTTTTTGCAGGAGGTTTCGAAGTGCTGTGCCCATGCGCCTATGCACATGGTTGACACAGTCCTCTTTTTCTATTGGCATGAAGCCATATACCTGTGCCTCCTGCAGACTGTTGAAGGCCTGGCTGTCTCCATCACACAACATGGTTGTGTAGCGGAGCCCATGCCTCTCCAATGAGCGGCCAAATAAAATTTGTGCTGCTTCCACCTCCATTTGTCCTGGCTTACTGGAAGTATTCTTTTGGCAAGTGTGACCAGCTAGCCACTCGGCATACCTTGGGTTGTCCTCCTTCGGCCCTACCTGGCAGCCCAAACAAAAGTTTGATAGGACGACGAAGTCGAGCATGTAACCAGTGAATAGTTCAATCACGGTCCCTGCACAAATATGGGATGAGTGGCCCCTGGTCAGTTAAGTCCCATCAAAGGAAACAGCGATATTTTCAAGATTTCCATAGTTGAGTTCAGAATACATCGTTTTCACGGTGCTCGCGCAGTTGTCGGTAACGCGCGCGGCAGCCTTCTGCGTGGCAGGGTTCATTTTCAATTTCACATAATCCTGGTATGTCTTGGTGTGGAGGCCTTGGTGTGTAGGGCGGAAAAAATATCGTTGAGCGCAGTTTGCCCGTTTCCTGTGCTCATTGCCGCGCGAACCGAGAGCACGTTAATTTCGAAGGGGCCGTGCGCTGCGTCCCCCCTGCTCTCGGCGAGCTCCATACGGTCCTCAGTTTACCGCACTCGTCACATGTGAGAACAAGTTTTGCGGCTATGCGATATTCACAATCTTCCTTGGAGATTCTGCTAGGCCCGCCACAAACACCCCACTTTATACACTGAAGAAGTTCGTTGACCAACTCTAAGCTAACGACGGTGAACGGCGTACCAGGCGTTGCGGCTCAATCCGAGTCTCGAAAAAAAGACCGCTTGCGTTTTGTGGCAGACTTCGATGAAAGATCTTGCAGAACATCGCTCGCACGACACTCGATGGCCACTTTTTCAGCGTCGGAAACCAGGGGAGTGTCGACGCGCACAGCTCTCGTGTGAGCTTGGGACGCGGCTACGGCGTCCGCGATCACGGGTGCCGCGGTGGTGATAGCGCTGGCACAGCCTGCTTCTTCCGAGTTCTCGCCGGCAGAAAATCTCGCTGGTGATAAGGTGCGGGCTCTCGGACGCCGTTTTCGCCTTTTTCCGAACGCATGAGCACTCCGGAACTTCCGATGACCACCTGCCATTGCACCGAATGCACAGCCGTTGTTAGGCCTCTACGCAAAATGGCGGCTTGCACGCTGCT